ATGAATTAGTAACATGCATTAATAGGATCAGAATACATGAAGAGGGAGCAGAAGAGAGAGGAACTCGGTGCATCATGGGAAGTCTCCAGCAGTCTAGGCCTTTAGCAGCACAACTCTCATAACAGAGTTGGATTCTCCTTACTCATTTCATCATCAAGATTTGCTTGAACTCATATCCTTCTGCTTTTCTTTTTGTTTCTCTGTGAAACTTACAGCAGTAACAGGTAATCAATATAAATTTTCCTAACCTGCAACGACTGACACTGCCACCTGATGTGGCAGTGTCAGTCGTTGCAATGCTTTTGTCTGTGACAGACATCCAACTGACATCTAATTCCCTTTAATCTAAGGATTTTAGATAGGACACAAAGACTGAATTGGCAAAAAGGAATTTATAAACAGTGTATTTACACACACAAATATATATATATATACTGCTTTTTGGAAACATGCAAACATGCATGGGTTTCAGCCATGTACAGATTTTACGGATAACGTTCACAGGTTATTTCCTCCCTGTTGTAATCTGTAATCTTTGCAGGAGATAGGTCAACTAATCAGTTTGCTTGGTGCTCATGTCCCCACAGTGTATTGCCGAGATTTGACTACGAATACCGATTTAAAAATATATATATATTTTCTGTGTCGACCAGCAAAGATGCACTTCTGGAGAACCTTAATTCATACATCGGTTTTGTTACAGTTGTGAAAACATTGACTAAATTCATTATTTATCCCCCAAACAGTACACACCTAACTTGAACACATTTGGAAAGGTGAAGTCCAGAAATTTAACAAAACAAACAACAATAAACAATACTCACTTTGTAAACTCAAACTGTTCTCTCTAAAGGTCTCAGTGAGGTCCAAATGTGGACAGGAGTCCACAAAAAACACTCCAAAATACATAAAGAGATATGGGGAACAAAAGGAGGGAAAAAAGATCAAGAGGTGAACAAAGAGATGTGCGTTTGGATTGCAGAGGAGAGAACAGGGATGAAAATATGGTTCAAATGAGTGATGGGAAATGGCTCCAGAAACAAAGAGAGAGAGCCAACATATTCATTTCCCCTCCCTCCATATAACCTCCTACTGCCACTCATGATGTAAGGATGAGGCAATTAACCCCGTTCATCTCTCAGGCACTCATGGCCTTGTATATGTGTGGCTGTGACTACTTCATAGAGCTTAGATGTGTGTGTGCATGTGTGTGCACGCATGTGTATTAAGCCTGCATTAATGTGAGGGGGTATTTATTTTGTGTATGTGAAACCGTTTCTGTGTGTGTGTGTGTGTGTGTGTGTGTGTGTGTGTGTGTGTGTGTGTGTGTGTGTGTGTGTGTGTGTGTGTGTGTGTGTGTGTGTGTGTGTGTGTGTGTGTGTGTGTGTGTGTGTGTGTGTGTGTGTGTGTGTGTGTGTGTGTGTGTGTGTGTTTCAGATCAAAGATAAAACCCCACTGCCTTTGGGAGATGATGTCATTCTCGGCACAGCAAGAAGTGATGCTGGCAAATAGCTGACTTCACTCAAGATAATAAAAATATCATCTTTTTCTTGCAGCTGCAGCATGACATCATGTGTTGTGCATTACATTTTACCATATACAATATATGGTTATTACTTAGTAAACCGCAGTGCTTTTACTTTACATGCCTAATATGGACATCCTCCTCAGTGGGAGAGTTTATTATTTGTATGAGAATTGTGCTAGTTAATTACATACATATTTTAGTTTCCTTACAGCATGTTTACTCTGTGGACCACTACTAAAAACAACAGCAACAAAAACTGTTGTTTAGATGCCACTTAGTTACAGATGAGAATGACATTCTTTGATTGAAAAAGCCTTTTTAAAAAAAAATGAAATTTCTTCTGAACGTGCTGATTTAACAAATTACAAAAGTCAGAGTAACATTAGCATGCATGTAATGTGAGAAAAACAGTTTAATAACAATAGAATTTTGCATGCTGGCCTCTAACAATTTAGCATAGGACGTCAAATGCATTATTCAGTGAATATATTCAGATTTTGCAGGATGATTTAGATTATTTTCATAACAGTAAGCAGCCTTTGTGTTCTTCAAGAATAAACCAGTGTTTTCTGACATGTATTGTAACCAGCACCTAACTAAAATACTTTAGTAATGATTCAGACATACACATTCATGAAAGAATTATGTACACCTGTATGGCATGAACATGCTCTGCCCTAGTGGTTTAAGTTGCAAGGGTTGGTTCTCCAAAATTTCACGAGCACAATTAAATTCTTTGACTTGTTTTTCAAAGTCGAAAAACAATCTTTTTGACTTTGACCGAGTGAAACCAAAACTATCTTCATTTACAACTATGGGTAAAATATTCTTTTGAAATTTGGGTGAACCAATCCTTTAACATAATATGGCGCAAAACAGGTAAAATGAGTCATTCAGTTTAAAAAAAAAAAAAGACAAAAACAACTTAACAATTTAATCTCAGTTACATCTCTGCATGTGTCCGTGACAATACATTCATATTTTGCCTTAATTGCTAGCATTAGCTCAAAGGCTGGAGGCAGGAGGTAACAGCTAGCTTAGGACCATGAAAACTGTGAACTCCAAACTGGATTTATTACCTTGATGCAACTTGTGTATATAAAATATGTTTGTAGAAATATAAAACTAGAAAGAGTGGTTAAATGAACTGTTGGCTTATGCATTGGAGCTGTTTGCTGACGAACAGCTAGCCAAGCCGCTGCGTACAGTTACTCATGAATGTAACAGACCCTACAGTTTGCTAGCTAATAAAATACAACATAAGTGTAAGTAAATAAATGACTTTGGCAGTTGTTAGGAGGTGGGTTTTTTGCAGTTTGCCCTGCTTTCAGTCACGGTACTACACATGGGATGAGAAGTATTAAGTCTCTTAAAGAAAAACACAGCAACATTCGCTGACTCACAGATGTGGCTATCAAGGTCAGCTAGAATTATTTCATCTCGCATCAAATGTCGAGGTTATCTAAGCCCAGTTCTCCTTCTTAGCCCACTTGAGCAGCAGATAAGATGAGACCGAGAGAAGACACTTTCGTTAAGGTGACGGGCCCAGCTAATTACGCCATCAAGCCGCCTGAAGCAAGTCATTTAGAAACCTTCTGACCACAAACAGAATCTGCCACCTTAACGCTCCACATAAACATTGTCCAAACGGCTGACGGAGTTAAGACTGATTTGTCGAGGGGGCTTAGAAGCACACGCACAAAAACGCATGTGTACACACATGCAAGAACAAATTCACACAAACCCACAAAGACAGATAACAGAAGCTGTAATTACACAGTCGCTGTTCAGCCAAGGGTGAACATCAACAAGGCACTAAGAGAGGATGGTCCAAACACACAGACACACGGATCTAAGGATAATGTTTTATCACTATTACAGCTATAATTACACCCATAAAGGAGAGGGGTAGATATGTGCAGCTATGACTAGAGGTGGACACCATCAAATACACAAACATATAATTATACGAGTACATAAGGACATCTAGACACTTTGCCAGATGAAGGTCAACAACATTTATGATGTGTTGCGTTGATCCTCACAATTTGTGTGTATGAGTATGTTTGTAAAACCACTCAAGAAAGCAGTTTGCAGCAAAATGTGATGATTTGCATCTTACCCTCCCTGTCCTTCTCTTGAAAGTGTGTGTGTCTGGGAGAGTGAGTCTCTAGAGAGGGAGAGCTTGTGTGTGTGTGTGCGTGTGTGTGTGTGTGTGTGTGTGTGTGTGAGAACACTAGCAGTAGTTGGTAGGCAGGAGAAAACTCACTCTATTTTCTTGGTTGGCTGGTCACTGTATGTTGAATTCAGGTGAGGATTTAGAGCAAGAGAGAGGTGCAGGGAAATTTTGTGTAAGTGATTTACTGCCTTCAGTACTACTGCTAATTTTTTTTTAAACGTTGTTCTCAATTAATTACAGGGGCACAATGGCGACCTGGAGCAATAAATTAAAGATTATGTTTTGAAATATTGGAACAACATTTGAACACATCACTCCTGCGTAACTAAAGATGTAGGATGCTAATTAGGAGTTGCATCTGTGTACTTTTGCTGTGTGTGTATTTCTGTCCTTCTAATTATTTTATCATTGTGCCAAATCTGTGCACTTACTTTTGCAATTATTCAGTTAAAATTACCAAAATAGTTAATAATTCAGTTATTTGTTTTATGTGTTACTCAGGGCCTGATTAAAAGCCCTGGGACAAAAGTAAGCTGTGTTTACAGGAGTATGCTACCTATTGCTGTGAGTTTTGACAGTCTGGTGGAGTGCGGAGTGTACAGGAGCAGGAGGTGTTAATGCAGCGGGTGCTGAAATAACATCAGTGAAAACTAACATCTGTTGGAATCAGTGCTAACCATAGCAAGATAGGCTCGATAGCTTCCGCTCGGAGTGGAGTGAAATATAAACTAAATTGCATGATAGCTCCTGACAGTGCATTAATATTATTAATCGGCATTTTTATAATGGAGTGGCAACAGCAAATTTAATGTATTTTGTCAGTTCCCCCCTACACAGATCAAAAGTATGGACCCCCCCTCCTGGGGTCAGCTGAGACAAAATAAATAGCCATGTGTTGATCTGTACTCCGCTTACAAATCTGTGCACAGCTCCATTCCTTGTTCTCTGATGAAAGAATTTGTTTGAATCCAAGAGTACAAATTTGCACATTTGCGCTGTTTTTCTTCTTAGCTGACTCGTGACTCGTACAATAGCAAGAATACATAGATTACATTAGAGTATACACAGTATTATCCCACATGTGGTGCTACTCGAGTCTCAACATGGTTCTTCCTTTAAAATAAAAAAATTATTATCCAAAATCAACCGCAGCTTAATCATCAGTTTATTAAGTTATAAAGTCTAGCTAAGATCTGTGTATTAGCAATACTTACATACAACATTAATGTGATGCTTTAGGAAGTAGTAAAAAAGTAGTTACTATTGTGTTTCATTTTGTATTTGTTTATTTTTAACACGTGAAAGCAGCAAATGTCTTTATAAATGTCTTTGGTGCTGTGGGAGGAAATCGAAGCACCTGCAGGAAACCCACGCAGATTCATTTTTCTGTCGAGGGCATCTGATGCTTACAGAGATTGAGGTGGGTGTGGCTTGATTTTTCTTCCATGACACTGGAACATATAGGAGATGGGAGGGAGGGGGACAAATGCACACTTGTTTTCAGACTCGCACTGGGGCTTGGTGGAGATGAGGGGGAAGCGAGTGTGCCTTGACTCACGCTGATCCTTTGATTTGTCCTCAGAGGGTGACTGGAACTTTTTGGAAATAGGTGGCAAGTGGGTGGTGCACCTTGGGTGGTCTCCACACTCCATCTTGAGCTTCCTCAGCTCATCCGTCAGCCTCTTGTTCTCCTCTTTCATATTTTTGTAGTTTGCCTCATACGCCATGAGGAAGCCCTGTGATGCCACAAACTTCTTGTTGAGGCGTCTGTTATCCCACTGACACCGTTGAAGCTTCTCTATCGCGCCATCCGGCCGCCGAGCCAACCTGCGCTTCAGCTCTTCAATCTCCTTGTCCTTTTCCTCCAGTTGTTTTTTCTGGTACTGGCGGGGCTTGTTGTGCATCACCTTGAGACAGGGTTGAAGATTTTTCTGCGTACCCCTAATTCTGTTTCGGCGTGACTTGTCCTGGAAATTGCCCACCTGCAGCAACAGTTTTCTTTTCATGATGTAAGAATGAAGCTCAAGTTTCTCGTTCTCCGTCCGGACAAACTTGACTTCCTCTTCACATTCTTTGAGCGCCTGTTCTTGGGCGACCTTGGCAGCTTCCTGGACGTTGATCCTCTGTTGCAGCTGTACTACCAGTTCGTTGTAGTGCTGCAGGTCTTTTTCCAACTTGTCCTTCTCTGCCACCATCTGGGCCAGTTTTTTCTGTAACATGGTCTTGTCCTTACCAGCAGAAGTTGTACAGCTCTCCTGTGTTATCTTTGTTTCTGCCAGCTGCCTCTTCACTTTTTCCAGCTGGTTCTTCACAGAAAGACATTCCCTCTTAGTCTTGACCAGCTCTGTGTTCTTTGTATTGATATCGCAATTCTGCTCTTTGATTTCATCATTCAGGTTTTGAATTATTTTGTTCTTGAGAGTTATTTCCGCCCGAGCCTTCAACAAGTTGTCATCGGTGAGGTTTCTCTCCGCCTTGATAGCCTCGTTCTGGATAATTTGCATTCTTTGCAGGTTCTCTGACTCGCTTATCAAATTCCTAAGATGGGCTATCTCTTGATCTCTGGCCAAAGTGTGCTTGTTGAAATCTTTTTCCTTATTTTGGAGTTTATTTTTCAGTTCACTGTAGCTATTAAGATCAGTTTCCAGGTTTAGTATTATGTTACGCTGCTTCTCGGCTTCCTTTTTGTGATTTTCTAACTCCATTGTTAGGGTAATGTTATCCTGCTCTAGTTGGTCCACCTTGTTGTCTGCCATCTTCTTTAAAATTGACAAGTCCTCGATTGTCTTTGTCAATGTCCCTGTCTCCTTTGACAGCTGATGAATTCTTTTCTTACTATCCTCACTTAGTTTTTCATGTTTTTTAAGTTCATATATTTGTTGCTCCACTTCTTTCTGTACGCTCTCAAGTTTGTCTTTATAAGGCATGAGATTTTCCACGAGGTCGCTGTATTGTTTTGCCATGTGTCTTATTTTATTCAACTCCTGTTTTGTCAGATCATGCTCCATGTCCTTATTTTTTAACTGCTGGAGCTGTTCTTCAATTTTTTTGTTGGCATAGGTTTTAAACCCTGTCAGCTCTTGAATCTGATGACGCAGTGTCTGACCATACAAGGTCAGTTTTTTGTTCTCCTCCTTTGCGGCACTGAATTTCTCCAGCTCCTTCTCCTTCTGCTCCCTCAGCATCTTCTCCAAGAAGAATTTGTTTTTAAATTCAAGAAGATCTTTCTCGAGACCCAAAATCCTCTGCTCGGAAATGTTCTTCTGGTGAGCTCTCTGGGTCTCTTCATTCTTTAGGTTAGCTTTGGCCTTCTCCAGGTCTTTCCTCAGCTTGTCCACGTGCACGTCCTGATCCTTGGCTTTATTCTTCAGCCTAGAAACCTCAAGCTGTTCTTTTTTCAAAGAGAGCTCGACTGCAATGAGGGCGGAGAGCTTTCTTTTCTGCTCCTTGTTTTGGTCCATCAGCCATTTCTCATTTGTCTTTGCCCGGTCGAGTTCATTCATGAGTTGTTCCATTTTCATGGTTTTAGGGTTAGTGTTGGCTGGCATCATAGCGACTACCTGTTTGAAATGTAATTATTCAAAGTATAGTTTGTGCTGTGTTTCTCTAGATAGCTAGTGTGTGCTCCAAGGGAAAGCTCAAACTGAAATTGGATGCAAGTACACTGAACCTTGCAATGGTGATATCATTGTGATGAATTAAAGACAAGTGATGATTTGACATCATGCTCCATTCTGTGGAATCATTTCACTGTTCTAGAACATTCCTTTAAAAAGTTTTTTAAAAGCTGACAGCTACTGAATAATGGCCCCCAGATTTTATTTTTCATGTCCTTTATCTAACATAATACACTTCATGTAGTGAGCATGAGTTGCCACAACTAGGAGGAAAGAGATACTGACACATGTTTAAACACGTGTCAGTATCTCTTAGATAATAGGACTATAAACAGTAACTTAATTATACTATATTATGAGGATTTGTTTTTATAAGGTACAAGGTTGTTTATTTGCCATTATACAACACAAGTTTGTAGTCCCTTCATGCTACACACAGATAAATGAACATATAATTGCGTGTGTGTGTGTGTGTGTGTGTAATTAAAATATGGTAAAATACAACAATGTTTACGTTTGTAAACATTTATTTAATTAAAAAAAGCAGTTAAACACGTTTTGTAACTGGAGAATTTGGACTTATTTATAAAGTATTAGAAAATGACAATTTCCATTTAAATTACTTTAATATGTGAAACCAAGAATCATGTTTTCATAATTTAGAATAAAGTTTGAGAGTAATGTGAGTCGTTCTCAGCGTCTCCTAATTCCAAATGTTAAATTCCATGTTCCAAACTTCAATTTACATCTACATTTATATATTAAAATGTCCTTTGTGAGTTTGCATGTCAAATTGTCACACTGGAAGTTTGGATTCCCAAACATTTTTGAAAACAAAAATGAGGAAATGTTTTTTATATATATATATATATATAATATAAAATAAAATGTATCACCTGTGAAATTAAAACGTTACAAATGTTTCAGTTGACATGTGAAATTAACTTTGTAATGATGTGACGTGTAAAGCTAAAAACATGTTGTCTTTAAGACATGAGAATTTTAAAATACACAAGTCCTTTCCAAATGTGAAACGTCAGGGTCAAATGTGGCGACGATCGCTCAGGAAGTAGAGCAAGTTATCCACTAATTTAAAGGTTGGTGGTTCTATCCAGTTTCGTCCTGTTGGCTGTACCGTAAATGTTTTCATTCCTGCTTCTGATGAGGAGAAGTGAAGCGCTTTGAGAGGTTGAAAGACTAGAAAACCGCTATACAAGGAATTACCATTTTCACGCTTTTTCCTCCATCTCCAAAAATCTTTTTTTGCTTTTATTAACAATCTGGTTAGCTAGCTAGTGTAGAGTTCATGTCAGCTTTTACAGAGGAGCAATGGAAAGTATCCTGACTGAAAACATCACAAACTGGCAAGGGATGTGCACGGCCGAGGGCAGTAGGGCTCTGCAGCGGGTGAATAAAACTGCATTGGTACCCATCTCCTGAGCATCAGTGATATCTGTGAGGTGAGGTGCCTGCACAGAGCCCAAAAGATATTAAAGGACAGTACCCACCCAGCTACAGCCTGTTCACCCTGCTGCTTTCTGGGAAGCGATGAGTTTCTGCTGCAGCAACACCAGACCAGACATCTTTCAGACTTTTAAACTCAATTTCATCCTCAGTACTGCTTCACTGAATATAGTTTATTTCTCTTTACCATTTTTACAATTGCTTTTAAATAAATGTGTCTGGTCTGGTATGTAGCAAAAGGGAGTTACAATCTTCACTCTATAACCTGTTGTATTGTGACAAAATAAATCTACCTACCTAACTAACTTTCATGGTTAGCTGTGCTGGTACTGGGCAGGTGGCATTCAGTTGGTTTATCTGAACATTTTACTAAAAACAGCTTCCTTCTGCAGATTTCTTAGCTAAACTATAAAAAGCCTGACATTTTTTAAGCTGTTTTGAAAGTCACTTTTGGCAAACCTCAAACAAACTGTGCTTTTTCCTGTGTTTTTGTCCCACATATCTCACCACAAACTTTGTTGATGCAACTGAAGTAGCTAAATGAAATTCAGCCATCATTAATTGTATTATTCACAGAAGTTATTTTCCTGCTGTGACATGTCAAAATGTCTTCCATTTAAAAAAAGGGCCATTGTATTAGTTTTGAAAACATGTGTCTGGCTTTTCAGACTGCTGTAAAGCAAGTCAAGCTTTTGCCCTGGGGTTTTCTTTGTGTCTGTCTCTTCTCCTGTCTACCTCCTGTGGTGTTCCTTTTCCTCTGGTTTGGTTTTCACCTCCTGTCTCCCTGCTGTCCTCTTCAGGTGTTTTGTGGAACCTGTCGTCATGTGACGCCCTGAAGATGCCCATCATCCAGGATGCCCTGGCCGTGCTGACCAACGCTGTGATCATCCCCCACTCGGGCTGGGACACCTCCCCCCACACACAGGAAGACCGCAAGCTGCACCTACACTCCTCCCAGGTCCTCCGCAACGCCACAGGCTGCCTCCGGTTAGTGTCACTATCTGTTCCTCCAGTGCTTTTATTTCTTATCCAACTTTAAGAGGACAGGGATGTTTTTTCTAACATTTAACTTTGTTAATGTATGGCCTAAGACATTAATAGACTTTTAGAATCACATATTATTAGCTTAATATCTAATACATATAATAACTGATTAAATGTTTATTGTCACAGCTGTTTCAGCAGAGAAATTACATATTCACTCCCTTTGTAGAGATGTTTTGCTGTTCGCTGTCTGTTATTAGCAACTTCATTCAAACAGAGAAATAAGTGTCTCTGTAGTTCAAGACAGTCTGTTATTTTTAGATAGTATTCTGTGTTATTTTTATAGCTCTACACACAAAGAACTGACAGACTTAGCTGCATTTAAGATGACTCACCACTTGGCTTCAGAGCTGCTGTGGCTTTTCGTTTTCCCACTTGAGATATGATGATAGTCATACAGGGCAGTGTGGAAGTAGTAGGACTGTGACACACATTTTTTTGTTGTTTTGGCTGTGTACTCCAGCATGTTGGATCTTTAAAAAGAAAATCGCTGACTATAACATTTAAAGCTAGGGTAGATAATGTATTTCGAAGGCATTTTTGTTGTATTTGTTGAAATTATCTTTATATTCTGACAGCAATCAATAAATCAAATGCTCTGAAACTGGGTACCTGTGGCTATGCAGGCCTGTAATAATCCCAGCTAACCATTTCATTCAGTCTCAACGGGTGGGATTTTTTTGGTTAGAGACTTCTAAAATCTAGCTGTCTCTTGGTAGTGTCTCCAAAATTACATACCCTAGCGTTAAGCGTTATTTTAACTCATTTATATATTACCAATGAAATACATACATTACATTGTATATTCAAATGCAGGCCAGGACCAGGGTCCTGTCATCAATACAGTACTGGATTGTTTTTTGTTTTTAGTTTGGAATTTAGACTTTTAAATCTATGACTCGACACTTTCAGCAATGTAGTATCAGATGTTATAGGTTGTGTTTTTCATCATTAGTTCTTGTCCTCATAGTCTTTTAAAACAGTTCAAATGTTGGTAAAAATGTCCTGTTCCTCCACTTTACTAAACACTTTACTAAGTATTCATTGATATATATATATTTTTTTTTTTTTGGCCACTTGGGGGCAGTGCAACAAGCTGCACACAAAACATTGACATATTTTCACAATATAAAGTTAATATGGCAAAGAATAACTAATTCACTTAAAGGGAGTAGCATTCACATTTATGTGGAGTCGTGTTTGTGTCCATGTGAAGGATATAAGTCCGGTATTCACTGGTTTGGTCACCACCAATTCCTGGAAAGAAAATCGGGCTCTTTAGCAGCTAAAATGCTCCTTTAGATACACCAGGTAGTTTCTAACTTTGTCTGTCTGCTGTTTATGCTGAGTGGGTAGTGTGTAACAATGGGTTTATCAGAGCTTCCTCACTGAAAACTGTGGCCATCAGGAAATTCCGCTGATGAGAGCAGTTGATACTGAATCGAAACAGTAAAGTTGCGGGCCATGAATTCAAAACAATAATAAGATGAAAATGCTAAAATGCTCCGTAGAGCTAAGGGGAAATGCAGTCAGATGGATATACTGTCACTATGAATGACCTCTTTCATATGCACATAGTCATTTGAAACATTGTTAATATAACAATATTTATCATAGCAGCTTTTTTTATAATACAAACATAATATCAGTATATTATACTTAATTTCACCTGTCAGCAGAAAATAAGCGACATATTGTTATTGGCTACTGATTAATTCTATTAATGAACATTGCAGTGTAACTACTCACTTATATCCCTACAAAAATATACTAAAGAACCTTATGCTTTCTTCTCCAAGGCGTATAAATCTGTCTGTTATTAGCTTATTTGTTCTTGTTGTGGGTATTAATTGACTTAGCTCATTCTTAGTAATGATGAATATAAAACACAAGAGGATGAGACGTAGGGATAATGAAGGCATGTTTGCTGGTGATGGTGTCAGGCTAACCTCACAAACTAATACATCATCTGCCTTTTAAAGACCATAATTAAACATAGTGTCTGTGTGTGTGTGTGTGTGTGTGTGTGTGTGTGTGTGTGTGTGTGTGCATGAATTGTGATGCTGAGACAGCAGATCCTCTTTATTCTCTATTCTGTAAAATTCAATAAAAATGCTCCTCGGCAGTGTATAGAAGTATAAGCTTCTAAATGCTTTATAGTATTTCATCTCCAGAAATCCATTGTAATGTAATTTTTTTTGTGTTCATGGCATCTGCCTTTAAGGTACACATACTTGTCTAGCCTTCATTTCAAAGCTATGTGCTCTCCTTTCTGCAAAATTCAATAGAAGTCACATGTAAGCATTGAAAGTATTAAATCCTATAGTTCTTTCTAAAAATATGTTCTGGTATTTTATGCCCAGGACTACAGTTTAATAATGTTTTGCTTGTTCATGGATTCAAAAAGCAGGATAAAGAATGCTGAACGTCATCTGCCTGCATAGCTACGTAGCTACAACCATAGGTTAGATTGATGCAGGCTGTTATGAAGTCAACTTAAACAACTCTTAAATTCTAAAATGTCTTTGGCTGAAAAGCATTATGCTAACTGCTGCATGTGGTTCGGTTCAAACTTAACAAAACTCAACTACTCCCAACAACAATTTGGCTAAAATGAACACTGTGTCTGTTAAGTCAGACACACCCATCGCTCATAATAAGGTATTCAGGGCCTTTAACTCAATAAGCTATCTAATCATTAGATATTTGTAAATATAGAATTGATATTGGTATATGTATTGGTATTGGTAAGTATTACCAGGACTGTATGATGAAATTTCGGCAGGCCAAGAATGAGCTCATAAATATTTCTAACAGAGAAATATCGGCTGTGTTCCAGACTTTTTTGATGGTTGCTTGTTGCCTCCCATCAAACATTTTAGCACCACAAGAAAAAAAAAACATTGCATGTTTGTGCATGCTGCTGTTTGTCTGTCTGTATAACAACACGTTAATCTCAGCCGCAATATGTCTGCTCAGCTGCTCTCAGTGAAAATAAACTACACATATTGGGTGCTACCAAAAGGCTTTAGTTGCATCTAATACTGTGCGTGTGTCTGGAGTGTGTGTGTCACAGGAGATAGCTTTGTGTGGATCAGCGCCCTAAACTCGAAGGGCTAATTCATCTTTCTCACGCCTCGTTAGGGAATGCTGGGAGTCTGATTAAAGATTGAATATTTCATGGCGGGTTTGGTATATCGCCGGCCACCTGCGCTCTCTCCCTCTCCCCATCTCCCATTATCCTCCTCGCTTTCTCATTTTCTCCCTTCATTTCTTCTCTCTCCATCATATTATCCCTCCTTTATCCCTTTCTTTTTCTGTCTCGCCCTGTCTCTGCCTTGCTGTCTCTCACTTTCACACACGCACAAACACAAGCACACAGATTTTCTGCCTCTGCTTACTCACCGCTTGTTTCCCTCCCTGTGTGTGCATATGCCGCTGAGCCAACTTACAGAAAGTGCTGAAACTTGTGCTGCTAGAAAGCTGAAAATGAATAATGTGCATTGAATTTGCATATGCGACACATATTCTAGAGCAACTAATGAAGAGTAGGTTGACCCAGTTTGTTTTTTACTGTACTTACAAGCGGATTAGGAACACAAACACATTGTCATACCACCAAGACATTTAACAAGTGTAAATGCATGCCATCTACTTAAAGGTACTTTCCCTGTGATATTGGCAGCTGAAATCACACTAAAATCACCCATCTTTCTCCGTCTCACTGAAATGACAAGACGAAAGCAGCCCCCGCAACTTCAACTGTTGCAGTCATACATACTAAGGCAACAGGTGTTGTTGTGGGTGAGAGAACACAGTGAACACAGGTGGTCCAGCTCTATGTCAATGAGTTTGTGCTAATTAAATTGAGAATTTGTTGGAGACTATGCAATACTAAAGGGAAACATCTGCTGACGTTATTCATAAGGGCCTTTGTGGTTATGTGTTGTATATTTCTAAATGTTATGGCCCAAGTCTTTGCTTAAAATATTTTTCCCATAGGTGCACTGGAATCTCCTTTGTGTTGCAGCTGTATCCATTAGCTGATATGCTAAAGGAAAGAGATGAATTATGAGTATAATGAGTGATAATTGTCAAGCTATTTAGCTCTGATAGAGTGTAGGCAGTGAGGTGACTGCAGGCTTCCAGTGCCGTTAGCTTGCTAAGCAGAGCTTAACCAGCGCATTTTAGCCAGTGGAGAAGCCTTGGTACCCCACTGGCTACTCAGAGCAAAAAAAAACCCTATGGTGAAGGCAGTCCAGACTAAAACTTACATATGGATAGTGAGAAATTTGCTCATTTTCTATATTGTATGAAGAATTTAGACGCAGCTAGAGTGTCATTACGGCTAATTATATATATTATTATATATATGATAGTGTTCATAAACTGGTTGAACCACTCTTACAGTAAGATGGGATTAAAAGCAGCAAAAGACAATGTGTTTTGTTTAAAATGGCTGGATTGTTTCTTTTACAGTAACATTAGAATTACAATTCCCAAAACATCACCCCATGCAGAGGCGTTCTGCAGAATCCTGCTTTCGATAATAGAATTATAGAGAAAGAAACAGTATCTTCCTGTTGTTACCAAAAGAGTGACATTTTTGTCAGTACAGTTTTTCTCACAGCAGCGGCACACTGTGGATTAATCAAATTCTGTTTCATTTGAAAGCTCCCCAAGTAGACACAACCTTTTTTCAGCAGTGTGATTTTTTTTTCTCTCTCATTATTTAGATTCTTCACACTAAAAGATCATGATGAGAGATAATCTGCAGCCCTGTTGTCTTGCAACGGGAATGCGTCATTACTGTAATTATGCCAAACTGACTGAGGTTAATTGAATTGAATACAGGTGGTATCCAAAAGAGAGGAAATGTGTGAAAGAAAGAAGTATATAAATCAGAAATACTTTATTGGTCCCAGAGGGGAAATTCCTTTGTCATAATTTCTCAGCTTGCATGTCAAGGAACAGAAATAACAATAACGAATAAACAAATTTAAAATATAAAAAGATACACTAAGGTAGTGTGGATATTTACAGTATTTTACAGCAAACAGAAATGTAATGAGAAATAGTTGTGATGAATTTAATCGTAATAGTAATAATGAGTGCAAATATGGATATAAATATAAGGAGTGTAGATATGTACAGTATTTTACAGTATTAACAGAAATGAAAGTAGTAGTAGTGACTTTTAAGCTCATAATTTATTTCTGTTATTTTAATGCATATTGTCTGCTATGTAGCAGAAGGGAGTTACAAACCCATTTTCACTATATAACCTGTTATATTGTGACAAATAAAATGTACCTATCTACTGAATTAAGTACAAATAGTGATAATGACTAGAGTTACATTTGATGTGGATGAAAAACAGCTGTAATGGGACAGAATAACCAGAGTATTAATACAGATAATATTGCACACTATGTCGGGTATTGTACTTGTTACTGACTAAGAGACTGTGTGTTTGAGACTGTGGGGCAGGAGTTAAAGAGTTTGATAGCCACAGGAGGGAATGACTTCCGGTGGCGATCTGTTGTGCATTTTGGGGGGACGTGTCTTGCACTGAAAATGCTCCTGTGTTTGAGCAGCACGTGATGAAGTGGGTGTGAGACATTGTCCAAGATGACATGTAGCTTGGACAGCATCCTTCTCTCCAGCCACACCCACAATGTCACTGGCCTTGCGGTTTGTCAGTTTGTTAGCGTCCGCTACCCTCAACCTGCTGCCCCCGCATGCAAACAGGATAGCAACCTCCTCAGCATTGTCCGGCAGATGTGGAAGGACCTCAGCCTCCTCAGAAAACAGAGACTGCTCTGGCCCTTCCTGTAGAGGGCTTGAGTGTTTTTGGCCCAGTCTAGCTTATTGTCCATGTGCACTCCTAGGTATTTGTAATCCTCCAATGTCCACACTGAATGCTGGGATGGAAACAGGGGGTCACTGGTGCTTTGGCTCTCCTTAAATCCACAACCAGCTTCTTAGTCTTTGTCATGCTGAGCTGCAGATGGGTCAATATCACTATAAAGTGCCTTTGAGACTTCATAATTCCCAAAAGAAAAAGCCCAGATTTTCCATTTAAATTCACATATTTTATTAAGTAGATCTTAGTTTGTTAAAAATGTATCTTGGTCAAGCTCCAGCACTTTTTATAAATTAATTGCAAGCATACAAAGTATGACCAAAATGCAAAATATGTGCACCCTGTCATCTGTGGTATTTGAACTTTTTCTAAATAAAATCTAACAATAAACATATCTGGTCAAACTTTCAAAATAAATCATGTCAGTACAGTAAATCATGTCATGCCACGTGGACCCTGGCATGACAAGATGGACAAAGGCTTTATGCGTGAAATAGAAAACAACACATTATTTGTTAAACAACAGGAAACCTTTAGGTTTAATGATTTTAGGAAACATTCTACACAAGTCTAAAAAAACACATAGTTTACAGCAATATGTCCCGACAATTAAAAAATCTTCAGATTGTTGACAAAAACGCATCTTGCCACTAACTTTTTATTATTATTAGTTAATACTGGTTTAAACTTGGGGAAACATATTCATTTTAACAGACTGAATGATTTTATTAATTTTTTTAATTTAGTTTTCATTTTAATTTTGCACAGCTGTATTTTTTCAAATAGGTAGTGAAATCTCTTATATAGACTATAAGTTAGATCACAGTCTGTTGTTTTAATTACATAGAGAAAAGTTTGTAAAATATCATTAAATCACGATCATCAAAAAACCTGCTGGGAGCAATATTATGGAACAACTGTAAAATGTTTAAAATTATAAGAAAGTAGGGAAACTAAGAACATGTCCTCCATGTAATGTACCATATCCACCTTGTCATAGAAGGATGGATGACAGAGTAGACATTTTTTCACTAAAGTTAGCATTTAATGAGCACATGGTAGACCCTGAGTTTGCAAAGTGATTCATTTTGAAGATGACTGTGTACAGTTTCACAAATATATGTTGAATTTGACAGGGTGGACATGTTAAGCTTGACAACAAACACAATATGAAGAAAATTAAGAAATAAAAGTGTAGAAATGTACTGCACTTGCAGCGGTTGTTTCAACCTCCATTCAACAAAGACAAATTGTTGGTGATGATGGTCACTAAAAACATCCGGCAGTTTCTTAAAGAGGCATTTACCCCACAATGACAGGGTGGACAGCAATTTCAAGGACAAAATATTTATTTAATATTATTATGAAAATTAAACTTGACGACCGAATTTGTTTATAATCATATAAGAAAATGTATTATATTTGTTTTCATTTGCTTTCAAGCTGATGCTAAATTAAGTGGAGATTTGTTTAAATTTGTCTAAAGAACATAGGAAAGATATAAATTCAGTTATGATATAGGTATGATGCAAATTTGCAACAATAGGCATAAACTAGAAACCAATGCTTGCAAAAGGTTCCTAGGAACGTATCGAATATGCACAGGCATTGCGGGAATTACATACGCTATCTCGGCTGCAGTCTGAATGGAAGCGGTGTGATGCGAATTTGCAACAATCAGCGTTAGGGAGTTAAATGATCAAAATAAAACACTTATTACACTCATTGAAGTTAGCATAGCAGGCCGTGGGACATGCAAAAACCACATGCACCCAATCAAAGAAAATAGAGACCAATCATTTTACTGTGTGTGTGTGTTTGATCATTTATAATAAAACCTCACAATTTAATTATTTTACAATATGTTAATGTTGACTGATTCTGTGGAGGACACCAAAGGCACTAGTGATATTGACCCAAATGGTCAGCCACCATAGCTTGTATGGTAAAGTTGTTTAAAAGTAAAATTCATGTGCTTTTTATATTTGTGTTTATCTGGGGTTAGTCACGTTGCGACAGTTTGTTTTTCACAGTTTAGTTTTGACAGTTATTTTATGCGGTGTGCCAGCCAGGTCTCTCTCCTGGCAGTGAGATAAAAGATTTGTTTGACTGGTTGGTTCAAAGTTATATAAATCAAATGTCACAAAGGATTTACAAGTAGCAAGAATGTACACCATCCCACTGAATGACCATAAAACAAAAGAACAGCACAAACTCAAAGGCTTAGCTCAAAACAAAACATTAGTGTATTTAAATATTTCAAACAAAAACAGATACAAAATTAAAATTCTACTTCGGGTTACACAAAAATAAATTCAGAAAATGAAGCGGGTTCAGTTCCTCAGGCACGAAAAATGACGTTCAATCCGAAAACGCTGCAAACCGGTGCAAAGTGTTTTGAGATTGACCTCGCTCCAGGTGGTGATTGATTGCACGTTATCGCACTTCTTCCCCTGTGCGTGAAACCTGCACTTTAGCATTACAATTTTTAAAGTGTCCAACCGAACCACAGCCACAGATACTGGATTTTCTTTTTCATTTTTGTGTCAGAGCATTTGATTTATTGATTGCCGTCAATGACTGAAAGAGAATTTCAACAAATATAACAAAAATGCTTATGACGTAAATTGCTTGCCCTAGCTTCCAAGCTGATGAAGGATTTAAGCATTAACACAGTTTGCATAAATAAATGCATATAATACTGTATTTGCTGTTTACTTGTGCGATAAAGTGTGATAAATGTGTCATATTGCAGCTGTATAACACCACATGTCGTACCTTAAAATCACAAACTAAAATGGTGAAGACCGTTATTAAGGACCTGGGAAAATAAATGCGACTAATGGAGTTTTGGCAGCTTGGTGTCATTTCTCACTGACACTGAGGGCACAAGCATCTCCTAGCCATCTTTAATAGTCTGACATTTAAAGGGCATTACCCTCTGATTGTCTCTCCTCTCTGCCACACAGACAGGCATACACATGCAGTAGCACATCCATATGCTTCAACAAGACTCAAGTTATGTGGATAAGTTTGCAGAAGTGTGTAGGGTATTCAGAAACTTTGCTGCATGTTCTGTTTTCAGTTGGACTTTTCATTGATGATTGATTATGTGTACCTGTGTTTGTGTGTGTGTGTAACAGGAATGTGAGTTCTGCAGGCGAGGAGGCCCGGAGGAGGATGAGGGAATGCGAGGGCCTGACAGACGCTCTGCTCTACGTCATCCAGACTGCTCTAGGGAGCAGTGAGATTGACAGCAAGGTAACTCTCTCACACATTTACAACCAACTTCCATGCACACAAACTCTCATAGCCTCTAGCTCATGCACATACAATATCACCTGAATAGAAACGCACATGCACACAGTGATGGAAATTATGTTGCTCAAAGGTCCTGTGTGTGTGTCGTACTGCATGTTTGTGTATCACTATCCAAGAACTCATATCAGTGGTTATTTTTTGCTTTGTAAACATGTGTTTCATGATGATTACTATGCAAAAAATATTTGAAATTTACATAAATTTACATGAGTTAAATGCAAATCTGTTTTATCTGTGGCTTTGCAGACTTTAGGTATACACAGCATAATTCATATTAATTTGTGTAAGTTGTCCCTGTGGTTTGTATGTTAATGCCCAAGGCTTGCAGACCACAAACTACACACTGTAAAAAATGAAACCATGGGAAGTTGTTTTGTTTTTAGATCTTCAGAATGGAGTGATACATATTGTGGATACATACAGTAACATTTTCTTCCTGCACTGGCAGATATATGCTGTTAAATACGAAGTTAATAATATCTTGAAACAACAAACCAATGTTTCCCTTCTACTAAGTACGTGTCTGAAACAAGTTGCAAAAAAAATAAATTAAACATCTAAATCTTAAATTTCAAAGATTTTGCAAAAAGAATGATCAAAGCTAAAGATCATATATAAAAATACATATAAAATCCCGAGCTTGCCTAGTGTAATTTTTCACAGTGCACCATATATTGCCCAACCCAGATGGCCAGTGACACAGAAACATCAGTAGTGAGAGTGTGTATGTGCTTTTGTGTGAGCATGAGAGTTTGTGTGGATGTGCTTGCTTATGCGCTCTATGCATAGATGTGCGTTTGATGTGTAAAGTGTCGAGCTGTGTTGCCAGTGTGTAAGGGTGTGTGTGTGTGTGTGTGTTGAGTGTTGAATTTTTTAATCCTCAGAAATCCTTCACAAGATCAAAGTCTGTGACTGTTGACTGCATCGCCACTCACAACAATAGGATTTGTGTGTGTGTGTGTGTGTGTGTGCCATGTTTATATATTGTATTATAATACAGTCTGCCCTGCACAGTATGTTCATATATGTGTGCATGCTTGTGTGTTTCAGTGTGTGTGACCGCATATGTGTCTACAGTCTGATTTTTAGTGTTTGTCTGTTCGCCTGATTGCCATCTGTCGCCCCTTCATGTCTATCTCATTCTCCACACTTTCTCCTTTCTTTCTTTCCGTCTCTATCATCAGACCGTAGAGAACTGTGTGTGCATCCTGAGGAACTTGTCGTACCGTCTGGCAGCGGAGACGTCTCAGAGCCAGCAGGGAGGGTCAGAGGAGTTGGACGGTCTTTTATGTGACACCGGCGGGAAGGACGCAGAGAGCTCCGGATGCTGGGGCAAGAAGAAGAAGAAAAAGAAGGGACATGACCAGGTGGGAAAACAGAAAGTGGCATCTTTTCACATTTCATTTCTTTCTTTGTCTTATTTTCTGTCAGTGTCATCTTCTCTTCTTTTGATTCCTTTCTTGATTCAGTCAAATACATTTGGCTGGTGCTTCATATGAAAATGTTTGGCAGCCTCAGCTGAAGAGTCAGTGGATTTCTTGTTTGGGCTGGGTGTTCAAAGTCCTGCAGAACCACGTAGTTAGATAATAATGTGATGGATAATAATAATTTGGTGGAATCGTCTATGTCGAATACCTTTGAACAGTAGTCTAATGATATCCAGACAAGCTAATTGACTATGTTTGGTCTTGGCTGAATGCTGTTGCCCTCTACTAGCTTGTACAAAAAGAGGGTCAGGGCCTGATTTCACAGACATACGGAGGAGCATTGCTAACTTTTGAAATATGCCCAATCTGCATACACAAAAACACACACACAAAGGCACACAGATTCGGCATTTGATGTGTTAAGTATTTAAAGTGAAATAATTTGGACCGCAAAAACACTCCAGTGGTTTGCACAAAAATTTGTTATGGGGTCTAGCTGAATGCACCCAAACCCCATTGACACATAAAGACTCAAAGACCGAAGAAGCGACAGGATGCTAGTGAACATCACTTTAGTTCAGATCAATTCAGGCTTCCTGAGTCTCGTGATATAACTTTATCATACTGCCGGGACTTGGATAAGAAAGCGATGCGTGGAAACAGATCTCTCAGGAAATGAACCACTTCATTTTGTACCCTTATAGAGTCAGTGGCATATAATGGCAAATAACTGCCCAATCAAAGCTGAGTATGCTAATTACTGGCTCGATGTTTAACAGGCCCACAGGCTTTGGGACTCGTGAGAGCCTGCGACTTGTGTCTCCATGTGTGATCACTACTTTATCAAAGGAGGCATCAACAAGCATGAATGTGGCAGCTAGATGCAGGGGCGGCAGATGGACATTCTCTCTGTGGAACATAATAAACTGTTGCTTGTGTGCATTGTTAGCTTAATGTTTGTTTTGTTCATGTTAATTATGCATTTGTGGCTACGTTAACATACGGTGATCAGTTTTTGCTACTAATATCACACCCCGGAGCACCTTGACCGTAAAGTGGGCAATTTCATTATGGGGATGTGCTTTTGAATTCCTAGGCTCCATGCTGTCCTGGTGGTAGGGCTGCAACTAACACTTATTTTCATTATAGATTTATCTGACCGTTATCTTCATGATTAACTGTTGAGTCTAAAAACTGTGTGATAAATGCTCATCACAATTTCCCAGAGCCCAAAGTGACGTCTAAATTTTTTCTTTTGGCCAACCAGTAGCCCGAAACCAAAAGATTCTTCATTTACTATCACAAATGACAAAGAAAAGCAGTAAATCCTTAAATTTATGAAGCTGGAACCAGTAAATGTTTAACATTTTTGCTTGAAAAATGACTAAAGAGAGGAATCTGTTATCAAAATAGTTAACATCGACAATTAATCTTCTGTCACTATTCTTTTTTTAATTCTTTCTTGACTAATTGCAGCTCTACCCGGTGGTTTTTAATTGTTGGCTTAACTTAGGCTCACCCTGTGCTCGTTTATCTCTTTCTCGCCTCAATTTACTTTGCTTCTTATTCCACAACAATATAATATCCTATAGAATTTTGAAGATCATATAAAAAATCTACCTTTACCCATATAAAGACATCATTTGTCTCTTTAAAGCCGTGACTTTATTGGTTGGTATTCCCTGTCAGATGGCCACAGCAGGATCATGCTAATTAAACAAGGCGTAAAAACAGTAATAGAGCTCGAGTGTTGTTATCTTTATTAGCGTTATATGCCTATATGTCACTGCTCGTACATATCTGTAGACAGCTCACCAAGAACGATCCTTACCGTTAACCTGTTTTTGACATTGTGTATATTTAGGATTTGCACCCATTAATAATAAAATTGTTGCTTTTTTCTCTTAATTTGAACTTTGAAGTTCTAGCTGATCTTTTCTTATCTTTTTTATAGAGCATATAGTGTGTATTTTGTAAGACACCGAGACACTATTGCTGCAATTTTGTTTTTATTTATATAACAACAATATTTTTGGGGATTCAGTGTCTCATTTTGTAACGCAGCTCTATGCTGTTTCTAGTTCAGAAACATTTGCTCAGTTCATCCTCGGTTCACACTATCTCTAGTCTCAAATTAATATTTATGAATGCACTACAGCTTTCTTTGATATTCATGATGTTTGAGCCAGAGTTGTTTTCCACGTCAACTACTGATATTCACCTAGCACCCGGATTATTCAGGGTCACGTCTGCAGAATGAGGTCACTCACAGCTACATGTGTCAAGAAGAGCTTGATGATGTGCTAATATGTATCTTCTTGATGTGATGTTTTTTGCTTTGCTTTATATTACCAACACATGCGACAAGGTTTTCACACAACAGGATTGTGGGATTACAGCTTCACCTACAGTGACTTGTCTGTTCTCCGATTACCTGTGCACAGAATCAAAAACTACCAAGCCAGTTTAGTATATCTCTATGGATTTCCTGGGTCTGTCTATCTGTTGCCAACACGAAGAGTTTCATCCTCCGGTTAGTTAAAAAATGAGCGCTCTTTTAGTTGTAGAATTGGCAGAATCCAAACGGCTGCCTTGGAAAAGGCTCTAACCTCTTGTCATGCTAATAAGCAATCAGCATCACATTCTGGTTGAGTGGAAGACGTCTTTTACAACTTCTAGTGAAGCTGGGGGGATTGAAAAACACTTCCGGTGGATCAGGGTGGATGAATTGCTCATTAGCCCTGCATGCTTTTTTCCCCCCTTTCATTTCTAGGAAAGACAGAGAAAGGAGATTTAAAAAAAAAAAAAAATAGTAGTTATGAGCCAGGCCTTTAACTTCCATTTGTCAAACGAATATTCAACGAACTGTTTGTGTATCCAGGCAGAACCAGAGAGATGAGGGATCTTAAAACTAACCCTGGGATCAGAATGTAAAGGGCCAAATCATAACCTCTCCATAATAATAATACGTACCCCCCCTTCTCCCCTCTATCTGTCTCTCTCCACTCCAGTGCAGCTGTGGGTGATTACCATGAAGTAGGGATTGGGGAGCTTGTTGGAGAGGGCAAAACTCTATCAACTGTGGGGTAATTAGTGGAGAGAAGGAGGAGAGGAGAGGAGGAAAGCATATGTCGGTGGAGGGGACATGTAAAAGGAGAGTAAGGGAAGTTGGTGGGAGGGAGGCCAGAAAATACAAAGGGATGAGAGAAGAGAGAGGATAAAGAGGCTGTGGTAGAATGATATGGTCAAAGACAAACAGGGAAGCAAAGGAAGACAACAAATACATTTTTTCAATGCAGTGTGCTGGCAATATTGCAGAGCCTTAACAGACATCATGTGAGATTACATCATTGCAGAAGGAAGGACAGAAGCATACAGGATTTCGTAGTTATATTAATATATACAGTCCTACAAATCAGAATGAGATAAAGAACAACTGTGCAGGCTCCAGTACGTTTAAGCATACAAATACATTTTTATGGAGCCCTGGAGTGGCCATAGAGAGAAAAAAAATATATATCAAGGCCATGTTTTTTACTACATCGAGCGCTTAAAATGCTATTGCATGCACACGAGATATAATTAGTTCACACCTTTTTGGCCTAAGATTGTAAATTCAGATGGTTCTCCCGAAAACATGAAGTGCAGTGCACCTGCTTCAAGTAACTCTCCTCAAAGTCGTCACATTGCCACCGATATAATCCAAACTGAAATAACTTTTGCAGTTTTTGTCCACTAAATGTATGTCCTACTGTAATACTGCCCAGTGTTTGGATTAACGTGTGTCTTCAGTGTGTGTGATAGAGGTTTATATTAGTTTTGTACTGTTAGAGTGCTACTATTTTCTGGCCATGAATGACACTTAAAGGAAATGCTCTCTGTCTTAGGAGAATACTGACATGCACACATGTACATTAAAAGATTCAGTTCTTTTTAATTTAGTAAGAATCATGTTGAATTAATGGGATTTTTGCATTGGAGATTGTTGTCTTCACCTGAAATTAACCAAAAAGTTCCACCATTAGGTATCACATAAAACCAGAGACTTGTAAAACAAAAACCTCAATAACTTAATTCTTAAGTCTTCATCAGAATCATTAATTTGGAGCACGGACATTTGCAAAATGATAACATGTTACTATCATTTAATCCCGAAATGATTCCATTAAAAGTCAGTAAACAGTAATATATTATTATTGTTACTGAACTTCTGTTATATTTGCATTTAAATGTGCAGTGCTCTTTGTATTTCCGAAGATAAGTGTGGTGCATATAACAACTAATTAATACTTTTTGGTGCAAACTCAATAGTTTTTTTTTTTCCATAATGCGCCTTCTCATGAACACACATGAATTATATTGTCACTGAGAAATCTAGTGCATTCAACAGCCAACGCTTATTATTGATATACAGTATGTGTGTCTATTTGTCAAGATGCATCATCAACGCAGGAATTACAAAGGAGTTAGAAAAAACAAAATGCACAAATGGATGAATGCCACCTTATTTATACACAGTTTATGAATAGTAAATCTCTCTCTCCTCTCCCTGCTTTTGCCTGAGGGGACCATGCTGGCACCCTACCACTGTCAAACCCTCCCTTCACACAGAATTCAAAATTCTTTTCTATTCTGAATTATGTGTCATCTTCCGCAGTGGGATGGCGTCGGCCCATTTCCAGACTTGGCGGAGCCCCCGAAAGGCATCCAGATGTTATGGCACCCCACCATCGTCAAGCCCTACCTAACACTGCTGTCTGAGTGCTCCAACCCAGACACCCTGGAGGGAGCAGCTGGGGCTCTGCAGAACCTAGCTGCTGGCAGCTGGAAGGTAAGGACTGTGTCTATGTCCCTGTGATACTAAAGGACATCTGCACAAGATATTGAAATTCCAGTGGGTGTCAAAGTGTTCTGAAAGTGAGAAATCTCAGCAAACAGCAAAATAACAACCCTAACAGTCGCCATAATCTGGTTGTTTGTGCTGTGGGATAGCAAACATTACTTACTAGACTTTGGTGTTTACACATGTCTTTGAAATCAACACTTTTTATGTAATGGCATCTAAAAGACTCAAGTCAGAATAAATGCAATAAATAATAAAAGTGCCTTATTTTCATAAGTGTGTTTCAGGTAATGACAAATTATACAGGGGGCCATTTGATGACTTTAGATCTAAAATGGGTTTTTTTTTGTCATTTACCAGCCTAATTGCTTTTTAACTGTCTGCCAGTTAACTTGATAGACAGCACTTTGGTGTAGACAGACAGCATCTTTTGGGCAAATTCTAACAATAATCTTTGTCTCAACGACTGTAACGACTGTCGTCACAGCAACAAGGAACACTAACGAACCAGCGGTATCGATGACCCGAGATAACGACCCCACTGAGGTTAAATAGCTGAGTTTCCCTGCCAGTCAGTCAGAACTGAAGAAGTCCTTTGGATAAGGGACGAAACGTCTTCCAGTAGCTTCAACCAAGTCCAGTTGCCCTTCATTTTAACCTTCGTTGGATAACTATGACCTGGATGACTGAGAATCTTCATAGATAACAATAATCCTGCACTTGACAGATGCCTTTTTTTATGAAATGACAGTATCATCGATTTGACAAAAAGATATCATATTGGATCTTTCCAGACATTTCAGTAGTGCCACCATGAGGTTGACATTTTTGGTTTTACATAAAAAACGTTTTTCATCAAGTGCCATCAATCAGGTCAGAGCATGTTAGCATGCCAACATTAGCATAATCTCAAAGCCCCGCTGTGCCTAATTACTGCCTTACAGAGCGTGGAGGTAAACTCTTAAATGAATCCTTACATGTTTCAAAGTGCAGCGGTCTTCAGCTGTGAAATTACATTATGTCATGTACATTTTTTATGACATGATATGATAATTTAAAAGAAAAGAATAAAATCAATCGCACCCTACCTTTGAAAACACATATTCAATTTTGAATTTAAAGAAAGAGTTAGCCATAATATGGTACATCAATTCAGAGGAACAAACATAATACACCAGAAAAAAAGGTGCATAAAAACAAATCTCTGATGCTCTCTCTGTCCTCCTCCAAACCCTCCCTTCCCACGCTCCTGCCCAGTGGTCGGTGTATATCCGGGCCGCAGTGCGTAAAGAGAAGGGCCTCCCTATCCTTGTGGAGTTGCTGAGGATAGACAATGACCGGGTAGTTTGTGCCGTGGCCACCGCGCTGAGAAACATGGCTCTGGATATCAGGAACAAGGAGCTCATTGGTGAGTCATAGAAAGAAACAGAAAGTGAAGTGAGGGGAAAAAATGTGACACAAAAAATTGTCTGTCAGTGGGTTAATGCATAATTACCAAAGTAAACCAACTTTATTCAAGAATTTTATTGAAGTATTTTTTATACTAGTGGAGTAATGTGCTTAATTCTGCCTTAATTCATGAGAAGGGCACATAAAAAAAGTGCATTCATCTTGAACTGCTTTCAGGATTACTCACTTGCCGTAATATTGAATATGATACATTTTTGAAGTAGACATGTTTAACAGTAATTCCATAGAAGGGGCTGTTAAATCTGACTGATCGTTTGATGCTTGATTTTCCTTTGGAGACCGAGTGATGTCTGTAATAAACTGCTTTTCTGCTGGTCCCCATAGCAACAACCTCATGCCTCCTTCCACTTAGTCTGTCTGATGCTTGAGGCTCTGAGCGAAGTGGTGTGTGTATATGTGTGTGAATGCAGAATGTGTACAGTGTATGTAGGTTGTAATGTCAATCCTGTACCCCACACAGATAGGTCCGCTATGAGCCAACTGTTGTTTTTTATTGCCGCAATGTTGTTTGTTTTATATGTTTGTGATAGTGAGAATATTGCCAACATTGCGAGTATGTGGCAATTAAGCAGTTGTTTTACATGGTTTAATATTGTTTGATAACTTACTGTACTTACTTAGATTATCTGGAGATAAGTGTGTTTTTTAAAAGCTATTAATCAAAATGAGTGAGTATGTATGCTTCAGGCACCAGCAGGATTTTTTTACAGCATGAAAACACATTTAGTGTGGATGTGAACTGTCAGTAGGTCATGACATGGCCACACCCCAGGGTCAATTCAGAATGAGGGGCAGAGTGGACAAGATTGCATGACAGCAGTACTGAGGTGTCGTGGGAAATGTAGTCAGTCTCTGTTAGATCACGTGACCAAGCCATCATCATTGTCTGACACCCAGCCAGGCTGGATTTTCTTACTTGTGGCTGGGAGTTTCATACGTTTATAAGATTAGAAATAACCACAGTCGACTTAGGGACTGCATGTATTATTTATTATATAAATATTACGGGCCGAGGGGTCAGCAAAGGGGAAGGGTCATGTTTGTTTGTTTGTTTGTTTGTTTTATGTTTAAATCAGGGTAGACAAAAATTTTGGGTTCAGGGAGGAGGTCCTTTTATGTTTCAAATCAACTAGCTATTCTCAAAATTGTGCAAGTTTGGAGAACCGAATTAGACATGAATCTTCAGATATTAGTTACTGAACTTTATCTCTCCATTTACCTGCACTTATTCCCACCTTGGGAACATAGTAAAGTAAAACATGTCATATAAAGTTAGCATATTGTCTAAGTCAAGTCCAGCATTACGCATCACCAACTGTTTCTACTAATTGGTGAAGTTAGTAGAAATAGATTTAACTTTGCCTCACTGTGTTGCAAAGTATCCAGAGTGTTCAGTTAATTCAGTTTCATTTGCAGTAACGTTAGATTAAAGGTCTAGCCAAAAAAAACATATGCATTAATTTTAGCATTAAAAAAGCTCAAATTGTCTGTCTTTCATTTCCACCTCGTCTCCTTCTTTCCACCTTTATTCTACATTATTCCACCCACCCTGTCACTCGTACCCACCGTGCCCACAGGTAAATACGCCATGAGGGACTTGGTGCATCGTTTGCCTGGAGGCAGCAACAACAACAACACCACTAGCGGTGGGGGAGGAGGAGTCGGCAACACCAGCAGCCTGGTGGGGAAGACCATGTCGGACGACACCATCACGGCTATCTGCTGCGCACTGCATGAGGTCATCACCAAGAACATGGAGAACACCAAGGCCCTGAGGGATGCTGGCGGCATAGAGAAGCTCATCGGCGTCGCCCGCAGCAAAGGAGACAAGTAAGCCGAATGGGAAGACGTTGTCATGGGAAAAGGGTAAAAAGAAAGAAGATGAAAGGATAGAAGAATGAGAAAATTAGTTGTGGGTATTGTCATGGGGCAGTGTTCTTATCAAGAATAAACAGTTTTTATACTTTGGAAGGAGCAAGGTGCAACAGCATTACAAACTGTTAAACTGAAATTAGAAAGAACACCGAGGGAATTCAGTTTCAACAATCAATATGCCAAATGTGACTAAAGACTACAGTACCCAAGAGAAGAGAAGACAAGAACCACAGGGGCATCTTGACATTGCCTCATAGTTAAAAAAACACAACACTGTGACGTAGTTGCTGAATTCATGCAGAATTTATCCAGAATTGGAAACTGGATTTATTTGCAACCACCATTTTAAGGAATGTGACGAGATGTTTCTAAGCACAATTCTATGTTGTGAAAACATCACTCATCAGCATCAGACTCCTGAAGTCAGTTGCAGTTGGACTAGTCTGTATTTAATTGTCTCTATTAAAATGTTTCTGAATGTTGATTGTAAAATGCATACATTATTACCAATAAGGCGGCCTGCTGTTCTATAAGAAGGATATATTTAGTCAGTTGTTCATTAGCAAAGCACATAGCGAGCAGGTGGAACACGGGGATGCATGGTGGAGAGAGAGATATTTAGGCATGAAGATAAGGAAATTGATTGGTGGAGTAGGATAAGAGGGGGATGTAGACAAGTCCATCAGGGCAGTGGAGAAGTAGGTGGAATAAGAAAGGACTGGAACATGGCTGTGGTTGAGAAGGAGTGGAGAGATCATGCAGCAGAGACTCAGGGGTGAGGCAAGAGGAGGGTGAAAGTAAAGGTTTAGAGAGGCTGTGTGCTTGTTTTAGAGCTATGAGTCAGCAGTCAAAACAGTCAACAGAAAATAAGGTCCATTCTGTTTGCCTGCACACCAACATTTTGTTTCTCGCCATTTTGTATTTATTTGACAGTTGACAGTAAAGATAGTCAGGGAACAATGGGGAGAAAGCAAGTGGGGTGAAATGCAGGGAAGGTCCCCAAATCAAACTGAGGACATGATAATTGGTGTCTTAGACCACCTGCAATTTTCTCCAGGCCTCGCTTAACTATGATTTGTCAATGAGACTTCAGTACGCTGCCAGTATCTGAATATTGGTCTGAATATTGTCCCTTATATCTAGATATCTATTCTGTCTTGCTAAGGCAGAGAGAAGTAGCAACTCATTTTATATATTTTAAGGCTGATTTACCAAAACTGCAATTGCCATATAACCTACATATTACAAAAAAATAAGATACTAAACTGACTTTGGATAGTCTTCCAATTTCCTGTCCACTTCAAACAAATTCATTTAATAAAAACATGATCTTTATTTTGATGATTTACAGTCCATAGCTTTTTAAGAATGAAATGTTGGCTATATCTGTTTGTATGGAAGCCCTAAGCCGCCATCCACTCTTATATTTCTACCATTAATATTTATGTTGAAACAAACATAATAAACAAATTTACATTTAATACATCTAAGTATCTAATTTAAAGGTAGCCTTATCAAATTGGATTCATTCCGAGTCAACATTTTAGGTAGGATTTTTTCACTGTCATGATTGGAATTAGCTACTGTCAAGTATGTGGAATATCTAATGGATGTACTTTCATTTCTAGATAACAGTTTGGGAGAAATCATTATGTAAATATGACTTTAGCAAGTTTCCATTTACCATGGAAATATTTCCATGGCATATTTTTAATACAATAAAACGGATGTCAAAAAGTCTGTGAAGGTTCTCAGTCATCCAGGTTATAGTTATCCAAACTATCCAAACTACTTGACTTTGACCTTCCTTGGATAGAGATGTCAAAAAGTCAGATTCAGGTCTCAACTAAATGTTACCCAAATATGTAGTCACAGCGTTTTGCTTTTGTACAGCAGCTGGCAAATTTGGTTATTTTTGCATCTAAAAGTTACATTTATTTTCTCCAATGCTTGAAAAATCATAGGTTGAAACTAATTTCTGAACGTATTGAAAGTAAACATCATTAGTTACTGTCGTGGAAATTATATTCCTGGTGCGGGGTTGAGCAAAGAATTGAGTTACAACCAACCGTTGTCTTTGAAGAATTTATTTAACAAAAGAGAATAAACAGAGAAGTACTTAAACACATATACAGCTGGTCCAGAGACCTGCCGCCTAAGGTGGCATCATCATTTACACAGTCTAGGTGTCTATGTTTTGGGGAACAGAGATCCTGTCTCGGCCTTGAATGAATATTCCAGGAGAGGAGAGGAACAACAAGAGAGGGAAAACACCAAAACAATCTCACAGCCCTAAACCCTAGCAAATGTGGACGGATTAACATAAGGAGTATAGGAGAGGAAAGGTTAGGGACAAAAAAACACGAGATATAGCGAGAATAGTAATAATAATAATGTTAAGAGATCATACATAAAAGATTAAATGTAAGAGGACACAGTTTTCTGCCATAAGAGTTACTTTTTGAGATACTGAAGGTACAGCCATTAATAAACACGTACTTTCTTGTCTTGTTCCTCAGAGAACATTATGAAGTTCCCTGCTTTGTATCACTGCAAGGCCTGACCTTGATAAGCTGTCACAGAATACAAAACGATAACATTTAGCAAAATGATTTGAAAAAATCAAGTTTAATTTCCTAGGCGCAGATAAGGCCATATGAGCCAATTAAACCCGCAGCCATTAGTCAGCTGAGACAAACCCTGGAGGATGCAGAATGAAATATTGGCCAATCAATCAATCAGCCGTCTTTCTTCTTCGGAGGCTGCAGTGAGAAGATTCTTTAGAGGCTAGTTTAGTGTCTCTGCGTTATGTCTTGATTTCTTCATTATTCTGCAACGTGATGTTTTGATAGCTCCCACTAGTACAAAACAAAAGACAGTCAAGCTTTATACTGTATGTGTTTTGTCCTCTCTGCTGAATTCCCAGACATAGTCCTAAAGTGGTGAAAGCAGCATCTCAAGTCCTGAACAGCATGTGGCAATACAGAGACCTCCGCAGCCTCTACAAAAAGGTAAAGTCCACAAGGCTGTGTTAACACTGGAAATGTCAGTCAGGTTGATGTTTCAGTAGATATTGCTGACAGACTGGAAACTGACTAATGATCAAATGTAGATTAGTTCTAACACTGTCTCATCTCTCTTTTCATTTCGTTTACTTCATTGTTTTCCTTTACGTTTCTTGCCTTCTCTTTTTCAGGATGGCTATTCCCAGTACCATTTTGTCGGCTCTTCCTCCACAATAGAGAGAGACAGACAGCGACCTTATTCTTCCTCTCGTACTCCGTCCATCTCTCCCGTACGGACCTCACCCAACAATCGATCAGGTGAGTCTACACCCCGACGCTCTCTTGTCTTCCCTTTTCTCTTCCGTCTCTCTTTCCATCAGTACAGTCCAGTCAGACAAGCATCGCTCTAAGCTAGCTGAAGTCAGCTTTAACCTTCACACTACAGTGGCTATGGACAAATTATTCTGCTGTCAAGTAAAATCCTTGCACCTTGCCTCCTAAAAGTCGTCTTGAAATTACGGATTCTCTGACACCAATCCAAGATCATGGGCTCTTCAGTAGATGCCTCTCGCGCTACAACCATACAAACAATGATCTGATGTATTGTGGCTCATTTTCTTTACCTGATATTTGTGCTTATTATTTAATGATGGAAAATATCCCTCCTACATACACAAGGTAGTGAGTCAGAATGAATAAATGCACAACTACATCCGGCACCAATAGAAATGGACAAAAAAAAAAGTGACTGTGGTGCTCATTCAGACATGAGACTGACATGTAATATCCATAACAAGGTGCATGCCTGAAAGAGGCAATAGTATCAGTCCTGCAATAAATACAGTAGCAGATTGATTGGATTAATTGTTTTCATGAGGCTGAAAACTTTAAAAAAAAAAAGCCTACAATTTATTGTTCTGTATCTGTTAACCAATATATAATTCAAAACAATTTAAAATAGTATGAGAGAGCATTCGAATAGGTTTCGCGACTTATAATTGCTATATACGTCAGAGGTCACACGCTTCTAGATCAATTAGGGGTTAAGTGTCTTGCTCAGGGACACATTGGTGGACGTGTCACAGTGGGGAATTGAACCCCGGGTTTCCTCACACCAAAGGCATGCGTCTTATCCACTGCACCATCACCACCCACCTATACCCACCACCTATATTTAAAATAAACACTAAAACTGAATTTATGAGGCTGTCAACTGACTAATTTCACATTTTCTATTTTGTTTCTCAATGCCAGCCGACGGCCCACAAAGCCATTTGGTTAATTTTATGGCCGTGTAAATTTGTTTTCACATAAAAAATAAAAGCGTTCCATTGTAAAGCCTATGAATGTGTACATTTCTGCAACAGTTGTTTATCGCAGCGGCAGGCTGAGAATAACTGCTGTGTAGGTGCTGATATTACAATAGAATGGTGATATTAGCAGAGCATTAATGAACTTATGGATCAGTGCTAACTGTGTTATAATATGCAGAGGAAGAGAAAAGAGACGGAGGCAGCCACACAAACAGGCTGGCAGGCTGCATCATCACCAGCAGCTTCTTTGTGAAAGGCTGCTGATAATTATTTAAATATTAGAGGGAACGTTACTGAACCATATGGCACTGAATCAATAGCCTCCAACATGGCTAACCAGATCTAACTTATTATCTTTGCCTCTGATCCCGCCAACCCCCCCATCTCAGTCCAGAATTTATTTGTGTGTCTGTGTGTATGTACATTTTCTATGATTTCAATTTGGCTCGTTTTGGTACAAGTGGATATTTGGGTTAGTAATGCCAAGACAGACTGACAGACATTAATAGGCCAGTGGGAGTTTAAGATAATGAAAATATGTACATGTAGTAAATACAGGGAGAGAGAGAATGGCCTGCATACAGACAGAGTGAAGGAGAAGATAAAGGCAAGAGTAAATCAGATACAGGGAGGATGGGTGACTCAGTATTTACCGCTTTGAAATTACACCCTGGTCAAAAAGCTAGATTTGTTTAGAATGGCACAAAAAGCATCCAGTCCCCCCCGTTTCACTTATTTCAGGCTGATGGTTAGAAGTAAATACATACAGTGACGTCTCAGAGTGCTGTGCCTTTGTTGAGTTCTCGGCACGTAAATGCAAAACATCAGTGAAAAAATAAATGTGTGGCCTAAATACTTATCCTTGCTGTTGTAGTGTCCTCCTTGTGAATCCAAAAGAGAATTGAAAATGTGTTGATGATGGTTAATGATGAATTGAGGGTTAAAGATATTCCCTCTGTGTGTGTGTGTGTGTGTGTGTGTGTGTGTGTGTGTGTGTGTGTGTGTGTGTGTGTGTGTGTGTGTGTGTGTGTGTGTGTGTGTGTGTGTGTGTGTGTGTGTGTGTGTGTGTGTGTGTGTGTGTGTGTGTGTGTAGCAAGCGCCCCTGCTTCCCCCAGGGAGATGATGGCTTTGAAGGAGAGGAAGGCAGACTATGAGTCGACTGGCAATGCCAGTTACCATGGCAACAAGGGCGAACACACATCCCGGAAGGACGCCATGACGGGTAGGAATTTCATACTGCATGTCTGACACAAAGACGCAGTCTCCCATAAAGCTAATGTGTGTTCAGCATGTAGTGTATAGCTTTAGGTATAACCACATCTGTAGGTTTTACAAATACTAAAGCAGCCAGCATTCAGCATTTTGGGAAAAAGGCTAATTTGTTTTCTTGCAGAGAGATCTACGAGAATACATTGTCTGTACAGTAAATAAGAAGCTGGAGCCAGGTTAACATAGCTTAGCGCAAAGACTGGAAATGGGGAAAGGGCTAGCCTGTCTATGTCCAAAGGTAATAAAGTCAGGTGACCAGCACCTCTGGAATTCACTAATTAACACTATATAGCTTGTTTGTTTAATACATTGAGAAATCTTGGTGTTAAAACAACAAATTGTGTTTTGGGGGGAGAGTTTTTGTGTTCTGATCAGAATCAGAAAGTAGTGTTTTACACATAGGAGGAATTTGCTTTGGTGATAAGGTGCTACACATAGACAAACATATAGCTGACATAAATAATAAAAGAAATATATAAATATGGAATAAACAAATGCAAGTTATATAAGAAAAATAAAAGAATAGAGAAAAATAAGTATTAAAAATAATACTATTTGCAAAAAGTTATTGAGAGCAGGAGTCAAACCTGAAATCTTTGGATTACAAGTCCTGTGCTTTACTAACTGAGCTAACCAGTCACACTATTGCTCTCACACTGGATTCCTGCAATCTCTGGTTACTTGCTGGCTTCATCATTTTTTACAGATCAGTCTAGTGAGACATATACAGTACAGGGCTTAAAGTTCTCCGACACGAAGGTGTTTTTGTATTCGTGTAGGATTCATGTCTGGACCTTTGCCAACGTAACAAGGCCATTTTTGTCAGAATGTAATCCACCGGTGGAGTACGGCTTCATAGATAAGCGATGTCAATTTTGATAATGGGCAGTGCTTGAAGTGGGCCACCGATACCAGTAAGTTACTTCTACATTTTACTCTTTGGCGTCCCGGGAATTTTCTTGCGTACCGGTGGGCTCTATGTGGCGCTCATCTGTTCCCATTCTCGCCTGTTTGCTAATCTCTGTCGGCGGAGACGGACCAGGTAGAAGCTCGGTGCCTTTCATGCAGCCGTGAGCCCCCATGTGAATGGGGAGTACCAGCAGGGCTGGGCAATAAAACAATAATATAATTATGCAATATAATTTTCCTCAATAGCCTAACAATTTAACAAACCTTTCATAAGTGTTTGATTTAATTCATTTGAATTACGAACAAATCAGCACTTTAATTTGTTGAGATATAAATGAACGTCTGGGAAACACTGGATCCACTGTTTGGCATTAAGTGTTTGTTCTGACCATTAAAATAGTTTAAAACCACAATTAACCATCTTGTTTCTTCAACTTTCACTCAGGAGCAAAATTCTGCCTTATAATGATTTGACATTTATCATAAGAATAATCGATATTGAATGATGTGAAATGTTTATCGTGATAACATTTTCAGCCATATTGCCCAGCACCTGTATTTTCCACTTCAAGCTCTGATTATATGTGGTGGCAGGAGATGTTACCAGAATGCAGGAAATGAACTGTTTAATGCTAAAAATATTCTTGGGGAGGATGCCCAGACCCCCCTTCATATATTTCCACATTGAACGTTTTATCAAACCAGTGTACACTTATCTTCTCTTCATCTTCTTGTGAACCCAGAATTGTGTTTTTTCATGTTTCGTGAGCTAAGTGTATGTCACACCCCTAATCTGAGTCCCTTTGTCCCAGTCAGTTTACAACACAAACTTACGCTCTTGCCCCCTATCCTCCATCTTTGTCGTAAACCCCAAACGCATTTCAGGCACAGAAAAATTTTTTGCTTTAAGCCCTGCATATAGTGTTACTTAGTGAGCTCTAGAGGTGCTTAAAGGATGGTTTTCTTATCTTTGGACAGAGCCAGGTTAGCTGTCCCCCCTGTTTCCAGTCTTTGTTACGTTAAGTTAGCATCATATTTAGCATACAGACATGGGAGTGGTATCTGTCAGCAAGAAAGCAAATGAACACTTTTTCTTCTTAAGTGATATGAACCTACAATTAATGCTACTTTTTAAAAGGAAGTCAACCAGTTTATATAACTAACTTTAATAATCCAAATTCTACAATTGATCGGTTAAAGTCCAGACAAAAAGTGAACAAGTTAGAAATCTTAATTTTAAAACTATCCACTAAATCTCAATTGAGAGAGTGTAGGTAAGCTTTTGACATAAAAATAATCTAATATGATGTGATATATTGATCAGGGTTCTAGTGTTTCATTGTGCAAATGTTTGCAGACATTTGCACACTGACAGCAGCTGTTGTGTGGGAAACATTGAGTCCCAAGCTCTCTTTAATCATCATCATCCATCACCATTTTAATTTAATAACAAATTGTCACGTCCACCTGATAGCAGTGACAGCGCACCTACACTCCACACCAACGCCTTTACAGTAATATCTGAATAAATGTTGCAGAGCAAGCGTTCGTCTGAAGTCCTCATCCTCTCTTGTCTCTGCAGGGCAAATGTCCGGTGGGTCTTCCACGCTACTCAGAGGAGCATACGTGTCACCTACTGATGACCTGAAGTATAATCAGGTACGCCAAGTCACTTTTCTGTGTTGAAATGCTCGTAATTTCATTACAGCTACCAACTGGCAGAAGAAGGCATTAGTCATGGAACACAAACCAAGGAGAAATGTTAGAAATGATCACACCAAGAGCAGACGTAGAAGTTTTAGATGTCCCGGGGAAACATTTGACCCACAACACTCAGCGTCTGATGGAATACAAGAAGTTTCTTTCAGTGTCTTGCCCTTCTTTGCATCTCTCTCTCTTGATGTTGGTGTTTTCCATGCTGCATTGCAAGCCCCTCTTACCGTTTTATGACTCATATCACCTTATAGAGAAGGAACTGCTGTATAGTAATCCTATAAAAAGTTAAAAGCAAAACTAGTTTCTTTATTGTATGACAATTTAATAGTGGCACAAAAGGGGATAAAAATATGAAGTCCAAAAAGGTCACAATAAACTAGAGCCCCTTTTATGCTTTATGGGAATACTGAATGAACTGCCATTGGCATTCGATTCTGCATTGTTACCCATCAAACCCTTTGGCATGTTTCATGCTGGTTGTATCTCTAAACTTGTGACTTGGCAGTCTCATAGTAATGCACAACAATGGACACCACTGATGGCCATCACCCCTGATCAATAAAATCCATTTTGAGTTTAAATTCTAGTTTGCTAGCTTTCTAAACAAACTATCTGGTCTACACTTACTTTGTTAGAGCAAACTTAATTTAGAAGCACAAATAGTTCCATATAAGATAAGCTTTTCTATACATAGACATTTCATTTTATGCATTCTTGCACTAGACAAAGGGAATACGTCCAACTATCACACTATCAATACCAATAAACATGAGAGGGTTTCCATGCACTCAAACATATGCTGCCTGTTGGACACACACAAGTGATTTCTCACTGCCTAAAGGAGCTAAGTTTGTGTAGTCTGGTTCTGTCAACAGTTTTGTCGCGTAAAGAGTCAAGATTTCTCTCTTTCTCTGACTGTGCCGATCTGTGTCTAGACACGCAATGCCCAATGGAGACACATTTAATTAGCATTGTAAGATAATGGTCAGGGATGGATGAAATACATGTCTAGTACATGATTAGGGTTTGGGTCTCAAATTTGGCAGTACCAGTTGGTTTCAGTCAAGTCAGGTCTGAACTTTGGTCCCAGTTTTCGGCCCGTGCAGAACTCTACTCTGGGTTAATATTTTTACTGCCACTTGCTGCCAGCTAGCTAGAGCAGGCAGGTTTCTTTTTGTTTTTTTTAATGCCTTTATTGACCACGTTCAGATGAACAAGCAGTGTACATTAACAATAACGCCACAAGAAAATTATATACAATAATAGACAAGGCAATACAAAAACTATAAAAACCGATCATACCAGGACAAATAAAATAAAAATATAGAACAATAAATAAATAAATAATATCCTATATATTAATAGATTTTTTACGAAGTTTTAATAGTTTTTTTGTTTGACAATAATTTAGAGATGGAGTCAAAGAGATATTGTAATTCAATACAAAGCAGATGAAAAGTGGGAATGCTCTAAATTGTTCTAGCCTTATGGATGTAGCTGGCAGGTTTCTATCACCGTCTGGTTATAAAAAAGTTGTGGAAATGATTCTGAAAGCTATCTGTACTTTGTGGCAATGTGGTTTCTGCCTCGTTGCTGCATGCACATCCTCGGTTATTTGTCCCTTTATTTCTATGAATCATTTCCAGGTCAGTTTACAACACTGGTGCATAGCAAATGGACCTCACTTCATGATGGTGTGTACTTAGCCATCTCGCCATTCTCTCAGTAATGATTTTTGCTTTTTTACAGATCTCTTCTCAAGGCCTGCCTTCAGAGCCATACCCTCCTTTCCAAAACCCTCCCCCGCCCGAAAGTGTCAATTACGAGGACCAGGCCTTCTATGAGAACCAGGTTCACGCGGGAGGGCGCCCCCCACAGGGTGAACTCAACATGCACCTGCAGGGCCTCAAGTCCACCGGCAACTATGTAGACTTCTACTCAGCCTCACGGCCCTACAGCGAGCTCAACTATGAGACCAGCCACTATCCAGCCTCACCAGACTCCTGGGTCTGAGGGGAGAAGAGGGTGGAGGAGAAGGAGGAGGAGAGGATGGATGAGGGAGAACATGACGATGAAGGGGTTAGTTTAAAAAGAGGAAGAAAGAAGATGAGAGGACAGTTGCCATGCCTCCCCATCCTCCCCTGTAGCTCCTGAGTAGCATCATAGGTAGCAGGATGACAGAGGGGGAGGATGGAGTGCAGTAAAAGAGACATGGGGAGCAAATTCTAGACTTTACACTCCTTTCAGTGACATCTGAGTGAGGACAGATAGGGGGGCAAAGGAAGAACAGAAGCAAACAGAGGAGCGGCCATGCATGTGCATGCATACCACCAACAAAACCGACAGACACATTTTCTTTCTGTGTTTAGTTTGTGATCAACTACTGCTAGGTTCAACAGGCAGAAAGACCGCCTGCACCCGAAAGCCTCCGGATACAGAACGTAAGAGGGACGGATATGATGTAAGAGAACTTGATGGGAAAGATAGAAAAAGTGGGAAATGTATAGAAATGCAGAATGACAATGAAAGAGAAAAATGGATTGGTGGACTTGAGGACGGAAGGTTTTGGTTTGCGAATGGAACGTGTGAGAGATACCCAGGCGAAACCTGTAAATATGTGGTATAGCAACATGGCTTTTAGTAATGTGAAGCACAAGAAGCAGATCTGTAGGACATGTAGGACGTCTGTCACAAACTTTTGTTTCTCTCTCTACGGCTTCAGCGTGATGTATCCTCCTCTGGGCAAAGAATGCTTCTGGACCTTGTCATTTGTAACAGTTTTTTTTTCCTCTTTCTTTTGTTGTGTTTCTACTTTTTTAATTCTCGATTCTGGTTGTATAGTATTTGATGTACACTGTACATTTTCTCAGATGCATTGTGTACTGTACATTGCACTATTTTCTGTGTCACGTCAGACCTTTTGCCATTAGGTCAACCTCACTTCCTCACTAACAACCCCACACACAAATGCACACAGTATCTGCACTCTAAACTAAAATTCATATCACAGCTACAGACGGACACACTGGATATGAATTGGGTATTGAAGCATCAATTCTGGTAGGTCACGGTGCTCCCTTTACTGCCCTACAGATAGCTGACAGAATAGCTGACAGCACAGCTGCCAAAATAGCTGAGGAGAGGCTTAAAAAGCTAAGCAGCCTTTTCCGGGACTTTATTTTTTTTTTTTTGAGGCAAGTGTTGTTTCTTTGGCGGCTATCTTTCCACATTAACACCTCAAATCTCCTTTTTGTTCCCATGACCCCTTGCTTTGAGTGAACTGTGCTCATTGTGTATATAACCGTGCCAAACAAGGGTTACTTCCCCTCAGCTGAAGAAGGCTGTGGGGAAGGATAGGGGCGTGTTAAAGGGTCCAAGTTCAGCTGAAGTTCTCAGCTGAACATCCTTGCGGTTCTAACGATGCCAGTTTGTAAATGCTTTGGTTTTTCTAAACTGTGTTTTACGGGGATGAAAACTGTCTTAACTGCACTGGGACTTGGGCGAAAAAACATAAAAACTGAACTAAAAACAAACAAAAAAAAAGCAAACGGAAACCATAGAGGGACTGTGACCAGGCGGAGCATCGCTTCCTCCAAAGTTGTACAAAATTAGTTGACTTCTGTGTTGTAAAATAATCAATGTTTGAATTACAAAAAAAACTTTTCTGAGAGATGGGTGGCAATTCTAACTTCATGGTAGACAAAACTGTTAATAGAGTACGGATATATATTATATAAATATAAATATATACTTTTTATGTGCAGATGTGGATGTCACTTATAGCAGCAACATTATAGAAAAAGACTTGTAAAAAAAACCCGCTACATGTAGGAATTTTGTTCACATTTTATTTTCTGGTCAACACACTAAATTGTCGACTTTGTGTAGTAATGTTGTTGCTATGTGGAGTAGAGTAGACCAGGGCCCAGGGATCCACGTTGTCACTAAAGCAGTCTAAAACGGTGCTAAATCAGTGAGAAGTATTTCCAACATGTCTGTATTTATCTGTGCAAACAATGTCCACTTTTGCATTGATAACAAACTGATTATCAGCCGTGAGTTCTGATCATTCCACAGGTGATCACATTTGAAACTACACAACAGAGAACAATCACAAGTTTGATTCCTCCTCTAAGTGTGTTTCCCTTGCATGAAATTCTGATCAATTGGTCTCATGACGCAAAAAACTGCACCCATGCATGCATGAGTATTTGTTGTCAGTAAGCCTAAATCTGAAACTAAATGGTGATTTTACTATTTTGTTTACTTTTGTTTTAAAGTGAAAAAGGCTAAATTGTAAAACGTGACAACAGACCCTGGTTCTCCCTACCCACTGCTGTTTAAAAGTCCTAAAGGTCATCTTCCGATGCTTGAAAAATGGCTAATAATGCAAGTGTCCCCACAAAAACACTGGATGAAAAACGGGCGTACTGTATTTGTTAGTGAGCGTCTGGAAACTGACACTGTTATGTATGTCATTGTGATCCTTAGGCAGAGAAAACCTGACTATTAAGACCTGTATGGAGAAATAACGTCGGTGACCTTTTTATTGCTAGACCAAACGTGTTTTAAAAAGAGAATTGTGAATCTTTCTATTGCCTCAAACAAATTGCAACTGCTCCAAAAAATATAAACGGACCATCGAAGAGCCTCTGACTTTGGGAGTTGTTTGTTCTGTTGCCAAAAAAGTGTGTTTGTGGTATCTGTCAGCGTGTTACAGGACAGTATTGCTGGTGTTGTACGTTTTCACCATTGTGTGTAATGTACAGATTTTTACAGTAATTCATTCAGTTTCCATGCAGCCTTTGTTTTCCTCTCCTACAGTGCAATATGCAAATTCACTAAAAAAGATATGACATTTCCTTGAGACAACTAAAGCCAAGCTCACACTACAGGATACTAAGCCTGATTTGCAAGTCGCCGAGCTCACTGACCGGGCTCACTGTCAGGGCTGTGATCGGGGGCAAATCGGAGATCAATTGGCGCTCACCAATCATTATGTGTTAACTACTCAAGGACGTATCACAGAAGTTTGCCAACGCCAGACAGATATCTAACATGCCAAATATCTAGAGCCTTCGGCCGACTCCACATCATGTGGTGTGAGCTACAGCCAAGGAGCTCCATCACAGTGAACACGTTGCTTTAATTTTTCTGCTAGTCTCAGTTACTGTTGTGTGGTTCCAAAGAGTGACCATTTATCAAACCTCTCCTGGGTGATGCATTCAAGGACACTATAACATCTGGAAATTAGTCATCAGTTGGCAGAAAGCGGTGCACTGATAAGTTGTTAGAAAATGTATTTTTTAACACAGTTATCATGATTTTAGGAAATAACTATGAAAGTCTGATACCCTTCCATAAATTTGTGCATAAAACTACATGTCTGAAATGAAGACATTTTGTTATGGCAGGCAGTTTATGAAAAATAAGCATTACCTGACTTACAGCAGTGAATGCTCCATATTTGTATAGCGCCTTTCTAGTCTATGCAAGTGCTTTTATACGACATCCACTTACATTCAGCTTAAGTGCTCAAACAGAAACTAACATTCACACACATGAACATACACTGGCGGAACAGCCGCCAGGGGCAATTCGGGGTTCAGTATCTTGCCCAAGGACACGCAGCCTGGAGGAGCCAGGGATAGGGCCGGGGATTGAACCGTCACCCTTCCAATTAACAGGCAACCCGCTCTACCTCCTGAGCCACAGTCACAAGAAGTCAGCAAGCCTGGGTAGGTGTGGCAAAAAAAAAAAAACATTGCTTTTTTGCATTACAGCCATGTCCTGTTTAAATTTGAGTTTTGAACACAGAGCATTTTAAATTGCAGTGTATAATCCATTAACTGTTCATTTGAGCAAGTTTCAGACACATGATGGATACTAATTCACATGTGAAGATCCAGTCTCATATAGAGCAGATACAGAAAGCTTTGCTGTGCTTCAGAAGAGAACAGAGGACACAGAAGATCTTTTAAAATGTAACCACTCATGAGATAATCTTATCCTGGGCTGTGCTGTAAGGTGTGCAGGTGAATGTTCAGAACCATGGGCTTACCTGTGCTTATCTTAATGCTACATGCAGCTAAACTGCCAACTAAAGGGCCATGAGTGTCCTCTAGTGGTCATTAGAGACACTGCACCACAGGTCAGGGTGGCGGCCATTTTAGTCCCCGAGACCTGTTCTGCATGGCTCTCTGCAGATAGATCACCGCACCACAGGCATAGATTTGTATCTTTGAGAGCTTTAGGTTTTTCATTACACACGCACTGTTGGAGCGCAGAACAGGGCACAGGCGAGGTGTCAGTCACAGCTCCAGAAATGAGAGTGCATCTCTTTCCTTATCTCAGCTGTACCACAAATTTTTTTTTTGCAGGACACCTATGGTTAAAAAACAACATGCGGCAGACTCTGGAGGCTGGTTTGAGAAATTCTACCTCAGGCTGCCTTCCTACTAGCATGAAGTATTTCTCTGCAGCATACAGTACTTGATCACTGAAAAGCAAGAATAATTGGTGGGTCCACTGAAAGATTTTTACACTATTTGTTTTGGTTCCCAGGATAGATATTTCTAAACATTTGTATCTGCAACAACCAAAGTTTTAGTCACCTAGGAGATCCGAGTACTCTGAGGCTTGGGTGAGTTTACAGTACACAAAACTCCTTCCAGAGTTTCACTGATTCTTTGTCAGTTCTTCATGAATGCCCATGCAGACATTTCAGCCACAGACCATCGTCCTTGAGAAAACACAATGTTAGTGTGTATTCACTGTACAGTTTTTTTTCCCCCACCAAAACACACATTTCAGACTGCTGATGAGCAAAGTTTTGACAGAACATTGTATTTTTCGCTTTTACAATTTCTGGTTTCGTCCACTTAAGTCACTGCTTCATGAAGTGGTAAGAGTAAAGTATTATTCATAAAACACTGTGGCAGGATGGCTACATCGTGAATCGCTGTGGTGACATTAAGTGATTGTTCAGTTTGGCAGAGCATCACAAACAAGTTTACTACAGCCACTGGGATGATATTTTGCTGTAATGAAAAAACAGAAAGATGTTACACAATTAGAGGCTTCATTAAAACTTTTTGAAAATGTCCTCCTACAGTTTATCGCTGCATGGCAAAGAGGTGCATGAAACTGACCTATAAGCCCTTTATTTTACATATCTGAAAGGAGAGCTGAACTTGATTATTCACAATCGATGAGAAACGAAGGTCCAAAAAAAGATCCATTTGGTAAATCACAGTATTTCCTCAGAAGCCAATGACAGGGTGACATGTATTTGTCAGGCCATCCTCCGTTCCCTCTACATGATGTATGGTATCCTCCATCAGCTTCCCTCCTAGTACAAAAAATTGTTAAAGGCGTGTTAGAAATGAGTCTTGTGTTTTGCTATCGATGAGTTCCTTGCAGAAATGTAAAGAAATCTATAGATCCCTTGAACTGTACTTCATTCCATGCAAGAACCGTTCACTGTGGTCCAGTCCCAGAGATCAACAGTTCAAAGTAGAAAAGAGTAGATATAGCTTAGTCATCTCTTTGTGTGCATGTATATAATTATATCGTAATGTTAAAAGAGGTATTTAGTGAGATTTGTCCTGCCTCACAGCGAGTGGTGGCCTTAAGCATCTGGGGGCCCGTTTCATAAACTGATGTGGTCCCTCCAACAATATGACTTTAATCAACAATCACCTAATTTCATAAAACATTTTTGTACATTAAAATATATTTATGTGTAGCCGAGACTTTAACCTTTCATTTGCTGCTAGTTACAATATTCTAACAGAAGGTTTGCCAGAGAAATACGGCAGATTGAAAAGTGTGCCAACCAATCCCATACTAAATGTCGAATGTATGTCGAAGCAACCACAGTCTCCAACGGGAACGGATGCATGAGAACTGCAAGGGGATGAAGAGACAGGTACCTGGACGCGGGCGAGAGATGTGATCCACGACCAGTTCATTATAGTTTATAATAATACAGGGCAGTGAGGATACTTATCAAATCAGTGTATATAGCAAAATTCTGTCTGTAATTGTAAATAAGACTGTACTTGTATAGCATCTTTCTAGTCTTCTGACCACTCAAAGCGCTTTACACTACAAGTCACATTCACACATTCACACACATCCACACACTGATGGCAAAGGCTACCATGCAAGGTGCCAACTGCTCATCAGAAATAAACTAATCATTTACACACAATCTCACACACAGATGGGAGCAATTTGGGGTTCAGTATTTTGCCCAACGACACTTCGACCTGCAGGTTGGGGGGAAACCGCCAACCTTCTGATTAGTGGGCGACCTCTACTCGGTCACAGCACAAAAAGACATCTGTGCTAAGCGCATCACACCCTCACTTTATTATATTGTTTATTTTTAAGAGGGTTTTTGCAGGATTTCTATACCAATCCATTAGCTTTTGCAACATCCGGAATCAACAGGCATTGATTTTTACTTTTGTACAGTTTTTAGGGAATTTCCAGTGTTTGCTGCCAGAGGGTGGTAAAGGTAATACATCAGACAGCATATGTCCTGTTAAATCCATATATATATATATATATATATATATATATATATATATATATATATATATATATATATATATATATACAACTACATACAAATACATTTAATGTATTTGTATGTAGTTTCCCTAATTGTGTTTTTATAACAGTCATTCACACTGAACAACTAATGGTGGGCTTCCATGGCTCCAAGTCAAAGCAGGAGATGCATACAGTACCAGTGGACTCTCTTTTTTTTTTTTTTCATTATTTCAGAAGTCAACAAGTCACGGTAGTAACACTAAGCTGTTTATTTTTGGCTCTGCCTTTCCAATTCTCCACAAAGCCCTTGCAAAGCCTGTGAGCTGCCTCCTCAGCTCAGCTGTCAAATACTGCTCATAAGCTCTTCCCCTTCCTTGCAACTACCTGTTGTACTATGTATCAGTGCAAAGTGTCTTCCTGGTTTCCTCCTGCATGCTCAGCGGTCCTTTCCTGTGGCAATCTGCTGTAGCAGCCAGCCACCTATCTTCATATGGCCGTGTCAGAGCTCTCCTCTCCGTCCTGTGAAATCCGTCCGACTGGCTGTCAACTTCCTGCATTTTCAAGCCCCATTTCTCCCCTCTTGATATTCCTCTCTGGCAAATGTGCCTGTCAAATTTCACTTTGTTCAGCCTTTTATCCTGTGTCCTTTACTAGTGTTCTCCAACTCAGCATGACGTCTCATTGCTAGTTTTTGTCTCTCTTGCTAAGCACTTTTCTTTCCCTTAATATTAATCTCTTCCTCTCCTTTGTTTCTGTTTCGTTTACCAAATCTGTCATCATTCTGCGTCCTTTTTTGGTAGCATATATTCATCTAAGCCACTGCTTTAGACAATTTGATGAGCACTTATTTAAATTTTTTTTGCCACATGTCATTGAATTTATGATAAATATAAGCTGCCAACATGGAAAAATGTATGTACAAATACTAAACTGTGTCGATTTTACCCTCCCCGAGCTCCCATACTTTCCACATTGCACCACAAATAATGCCTCACAAATAAAGTGTGTGAACTCAAGTAGAAACAAGGCAAGAAATCCAACAATGTCGGCAAGCTTAGCAAACTAAAACGACAATGAGCACTTACATTCACATTAAACAGAGTCAATTCTTCATGTCAGTTTTTCTAGAACTGCAACACTGTGCATTGTAAGAGCCATGTGAGGGACACACTCAAGCAAGCCATGTCTGGCTTTCTCGGGTAATGTGAACATACAGGTGTACTCCCCTTTCCCCTCATCTCCTCCTTATTAGAGGTAACAATCTTTTCCTCTCCTCCTCCTGCCTCCTCTCTATTCTCTTCATCTTATAGTTCCATTTGGGAATCTGGAGATGGTTGTGGTTACTGCTCCGTGGGATTTTTTCCGGTATAAAGCTCTGAGAAGGGGCTTTGCAGAGTATTACTTTGGGGACCATGATGCCTTCCCGCATGCTGCTTCTCCTCAGCATACTCAGAGGTAGAAGACTTGCTCGCCTTATGGACGCCGCGGCCACGTTGGTCAGCAGCTGCGGCTGGAGGCTGGCCCTCCGATCCCTCGGCTTGGGGATGAGAAGGACCCGTGAGTTCTGGAAAAATTTCTTGTAGTTGTTAAGTCTGTCAGGGCCAAGACGCTTCAGCTCAGCAACCCGTTGCCTCCTCAGGATCTCCTGCACGGCGTGACGACGCTTCCCGATGCACGGTGGGCTGCCTGGACACACTGTGCGGCAAGATATGGCAATGAACGGACTGGAGATACTAGTAGTGATCCGGACCATGTGGTCAAGAACGCCATCATCCACAGGTTTTACCCTGTTGTTGACATAAAACCTATAAGAGCAGCAGGAGAGGAGGTTGATCAAACGCCTCCAGTAGGACTTTGGCTCTCTGGCCTGAGTCACCAGCTCCTGCACAGGAAGATCAAAGAAAATGTTCAAGGAATCATTACAAAAAAGAACACATTTTGAATCTTTGTCTTGAATTTCTCAGAGGGGGATAAAAGCTTTATGTGGTGCATTCAATATGAAGACTGTAGTCATGATGAATTCATTAACCTCCAGCATGGGCCACTCCAGGGAGAATGAGTCACAGAACTGCTCAGCACAGGGCTTTGACATCAGCCGATACATCAGGTAAGCTGTCTCGTATCGACCAGTGAAGAGAGCCCATTCCCTGGGTGTCATATGCCGGCCGTTGTCCCGTGCCTGAATGTCAGCTCCTGGACACATAAGGACTTACTGAAGTACTTATTGCAAGGGACAATCTGCGACTAAAGTTTAACTGCAATCTGCTCATACATGCAAAGGGGATTCCTACCCTGATATATACAGTACATCTAATACTCACAGGCAGAACATTTTCTAGAGCAGATCTATAATGTATGTACTGTATGAGTTTTTACCAGCCAGCATGAGAGCCCTGACGCACTCAGCCCGGCCCTGCATGGCAGCCTTCATCAAAGCTGTGAAACCATGACAGTTCCTCCTCTCGATGTCCAGCCCAGGGAAGTAGTTGAGCAGGTAGTGAGAGATAAGCATATGACCTGCCGAACAGAGGGAAACACGGGCATGTGTTATGGTTTCTCCAGTTTAGCACTAACAAAGCCTCTTCTGATATATCTCCCATATTATCTTTTGTTTTCTATAACCACTCTTTTTTTTAATTTTTTTTATAGATATTCATAATTATTTCAGTCATGGTGTGGCAATAGGGATGGCAATGTTGGGCGGTCGGTCAGTTGGTCCACCATTTTGGTCCAGACCGAAATTTGGTACGCTGTATATTTATGGTGTTGTCATGTTTAGTGCTAATTAACAAACAGCATGCTAACACTGCGTGACATGAGATGGTAAACATTATAAACATTACCTGCTGAACCTCACCATTGTCTTTGTGAGCATGTTAGCAATGCTGTTAGCATTTAGCTCAAAGCACTGCTGTGCCTAAGTACCTGTACAGTGCTGCTAGCTTAGCTATACTCTTGGTCTTGTTAATGCATACGCACAAATGAGTACTTTATGCTCATGAATCAGTCTCCAGTTGTTACTCCAGTCAGTAAGTTATGGAACAGCACCAAGATTGTTAGTGGTAGGCTAGCAGCTGTGTTTTAGTAATATTACATATAATTTGGGTAATTCCTTAATATTGTTATCACATTCATTAAACTTGTCCCCATTTTTTTATACACTTGCTAAATACATATACATGCTAAATTAGATGCTGTTTCAAAAATACTGGTCGGCTTTTCAGCTTTTTTTTTCAGTCACAGTTTTGTGATAACCTCAGTTGCAACCTGATTTCAAGCTGATATTTTGCCAGCCACTCTGGGGACTGAACAAGTCACTTCACCGTTGCTGATGGGATTTGTAGTCAAACTGCTTTTTACCATTCAACACAGCTTCTTAAAAGTCCACAACCTCAGTTCCTAATTGAGAAAATCCAGTCTAAATCCAGGCTAATGAAACGGTCTGATCCCTGAAACTCCTTGAAGTGAGAACAATGCAGAGTTTCAGTACGCAACAAGAATCCATTAAGGAGATACAGATAGAAGCATGGTTGAACTGAACGGTAAGGAGGATGGATTTAAATGGGAGTTAACCTCTGATAACCTGGGTTTAATTCTCAACACTTGTCTAGACACCTTCTACCTTCAGTGAAGGATTTTATGGAAAGTTTTTCTTCTAGTGTATTCGACCACTCTTCTGCAGTCGTGTGTACTCACAGTCTTGCGCACCTGTTCCCCTGAGGTGTTGCAGAGTACTTTGTCATGAAGGGGGATCGATACATCTTTTAATGAAGCAGAAAATGAAGAGTAGTCTGCAGCTATTAATCACAGGCCACAGAGAGCCATTCATCATCATTACTAGCTGAGAGGCCAGGGCACCATGTCTGACACATGTGGCTGCATCACTATAAAATTACTTAAGCATGGTACTTTGTAATACCAGCAAATAAATTCTTGCATCTGGAAGCACCAGACCTCATAATATGCTTTGTGCTTTAATTTTGAAACTCAATTCTCTGCTGTAAATTAGGCATGATTTAAGTTATATGAAACTCAACAACTTCGCAACCATCTCATCATAATCTTTTGGTGAGCATTCAAATAGATACTTGCAACGATGATTCCAGTTGCTTTGGAAATTCACTCAATGGTTAAAAAGTAAATTGAGCTTTTTACATATGAGGCTGGTTTACGTTTAAGCTTGTGCTGTGCAGCTCTTTTAATTTCTATCAGAAAAGATGGCATCGCCATTTAAAGCGAGATTATACTTCTACTAAACAGCAGCCAATTACAATTATTAAGTGGCAATTACAGGATCATGGCACGTTTAATTTTCTTTTAATTACAGCATTATTTTGAGGATTTTTTTGTGGCTCTGGCCATCAATTATGATGGTTATCGTGGTTATGATAACACTGTACTCACGACAGTCTCTACTGGAATCTCAGAACACAGCATAATTCACAAAAAACAGGTTGTAAACAAGTTTAGAAAAATAAAATTATAACCGAAAATGTTTACTGTACTGTACGTCCACACTTTTGGTTTTACGTCCAATGGTAGCTAATCTGGCGAAACTCTGTGCTTGTTTGCTGGATCTAGTTTTATCACTATTTCCACGCTCCAAAGTCTCACCAATATTTTGGGGAGTACAATGTAAGAAGTGATGGTCGGAGCGCTGAGAAAAAAAGACAAAATAACAATAAATCTGTAATAAACCATAGTTTCTTTTAGGTTGCTGTAAAGACATCAGTGAAAGAGGCCACAACCATTTTTCCTGGTAAGGTACGGTGTGTTAATTATTCTCCTGTACTTTATCCTGTATTTTTTAGATAAAACCCCTGAAATGTTTGTCTCTGACTTGCTAAAATGGTGGTTAACAGTAGCACAAGAAGAGAATAGTCATAAAGTCTGCAAACAGACAGCTTAAGTACACGGTCACTGCTGTTTATTACAGCAATGCGTCAATGCAGCTGCCATATTGGTATAGTGAAGCAAAGACTCCTAATGAATGTAAGTCTATCAAGGCAGAAGGTCTCTCCACAATTAAAAATAACTTTCCAGCTGTTTGGTTAGTCAAAAATGCCAGATATGTATTTATGATACAAGATACATTTGCAACTAAAAGCATGTTTTTTTTTTTACACCAAAATCCTATCTATTGTAGATATTAACAGTAATATTTCTATGGGATTTGAGATTAATTTACCCAATGTAATTAATAACTACATTCTTTTTCTTACTTCATTGTAAAATGGCTGCCATGACATAATTTTTTTTTAATATGGTTTTCAAAATAAATAGACTTAAAATTACGCTTATAGTAAAATATTCATATTTAACTAATTTACATTTTAAGTCACAAATTATTTGTAAAAATGATAGTGTTTGAGCAGGGTCATGCAGAGCTGCAGTGTAACAGTTAAGTAAGCGTCAGGTAACATGCTTTTGTAGCTAGGTTAGTGCAATGAAACATAACATACAACGTAGGACTACAGAAAACAATTATAAATAGAGCAACACAGCTAATTTTACAATTATGATTTTTAGCATCTTTTTTTTCTTTACCTGACATAAATTAGTATCAGGACAGTCACTTAACTTTATGCTTAAAAGAAGGATTACTTATTGTGGTAATCAAATTTGACATCTTAGTAACAGATAAGATAGTTTGTAAAATAACTTTGCATCTGTGAAATACGATTCCCTGTTGGGTGATTTTGGCATTTCTTTCATTAGAACATCAAAAGCAGCACAGAAGTCTGGCATTTAGTATTTGAACTGGCCAGAACCCGCTACAATGCATCTCACAAGCCAGATGTGGGGTGTGTGTGTGTGTATATATATATATATATATCTTTGTGCTAAACCAGTCCAAATACAGCTGTAGCAGTAAAACCCATCGGTGTACTGACCTAAGCAACAGTGAATTGTATTGTTAATGAATTCAACTTTTCATTCGATTGAGGAAGATTGTGTTATTTCTAATTAAATAAGTTCAAACAATTGTAACAAAGGTGCTCTTTGGTGGGGAACAAAAAAGTTCAAAAGAGAATGAAAGTCCAAGGCAAAAAACAGTAATTCAGATGGCTGTTTCACGGTCAAATAAATAACATAAAATAAAAACATAGACAATCCTTGTATATGTTAAAAATTGAGCTGTGGAACAACTCATGCGTAACGGCACAAACAATGTTTGTGAGATAATTAGGGAGATCTCAATCAACTACAGTCTGAACAAACCCACACAGTCCAGAAGAGAGGTCTAATCAGCCTAATAAGTCAAAACAACTAGACCCTTACTGCGAAGGGCCTTTTTAAGAAATAACAGCGCCATGTCCACCAGTATCAGTTAAAGGCCCTTTTTTATTTGTTTACGATAATTATACCGATAGATGTTTTAAATTTCAAAATGTATTCAAATGCCTTCGGTGTGTTTACCTGCTTGCGCTGCTATAATAAGAGCAGTGTTGCCCTCGTTGTCCTGCCAGTTAACATCAAGATACGGGCACTGAGAGAGGGCGATGACCACATCCACGTAGCCATGGTAGCACGCCATAATCAGGCCAGACTGAAACACAAAGAAAGAGCGCTTATCAGTCATGTTTTCTACAAGAATGTGAAGAAAGACATCAGATCAGCAAGAGTTAGCCACACTGCAGTATGGGTATTATGTCTCAGGTACAGATAAGAACAGTCAAAATAATTGGGGGCAGTATTTAACAATTAGTGTTAGTGTGACGTTGAGGTATTCAGTCATCCCTGACCGCCTAAAAAACTGAGGACACAGCGCAAACTGAACTGGATGTGGTGGTGAACGCTGTCTAGTCCACCTTGGTTTAAAGTTGGAAGTCAAATTTGATCTTTCAGCCATAATTTCTATCAGTTATGACAACATTTTCTCACCAACCTAACTGCAACTGTAATCTTATCTAGACTCAATGTGAGTGCTCTTGTAGCATCCCTCAATTTCAGAGGAAAAAAGTGTACATGTACAACTCTGACCTCATTTACACCCGACATTATCATACAATCTGTAGGTGGATATTTATCTGGATGAGAAAAAAACATGTTAAAAACACGCAACAATGCAAGGTGTAAATGCACACAGGATGCAATGTGATCACATGGGTCAGATGTCATTATCCAGGACATGTATCCAGATAGAGTTCACTTTTTAATACCGGGTGTAAATGGGTCACAGTTAAATTAGAAAGTCATTCTACAAAATCAAATAGATGCGTATAACAGACAGAAATGTATGGATTATCTCTGTATCCCAGAGATAGAAACACTGGACTCCCAACATGCTGATTTGAACAGAACACCCAACCATTTCAATGCACAAACATTTTAACAATATTTTAAATAAATCATATAAAGTAGCCCTGCAGAAAGGCTTCTCTGCTGGTTTGTATCACTAACCAAACCCTAACTTGGCCTATACGACTCTGAAGCTTTTCAGTCTGCAGTTGTGATACAAAAAGATTTACGATCCACATTTTTATTATATCCCACCAATTTAGTGTCATTCTGTTGTACCATTAAAGGTACAGCTATAGAGCTTTTCTTCATACAGAAAGCATGAGTAAGGTGATATAAGGTTGGTGCAGCACATTCAGAAGGCCAGCCTGCTTCTCATGTCTATTTACAAATAGATTGTGTCAAGTTTTGTTTTTTTGCTGGAGCACAGTACAAACAGCGAGTAACAGTGATTCAGCTCATTTCCATGTCTGCATAACTATGCTATGTCAACACATCACAGTACTCCAGGACAATCCTTCCCTGTCTGTTTCTATAACCAAATAGTATCTTTTACCTAATGCTCAGTTCACTGTCTATAAGCAAACCCTTTAAAAGCTGAGCCGTGATGGCCCGATGGTCCTTGACATAGTCACTGTGCACTTTCCACTCTCCATCTGTCACTGGAGGCTTAACCAACTGCTCTGAAACTTCCTTCAGGATTTGACCTTCAATGGCTCGTTGGTGTTCAGGAGATGCCACAAGGATCAGCTGGCCTGACCGCAAAACCTGATGTGACTGCTGGTGAGAAAAACAGTTCTCTCAGGGTCAACATGATTTTTATCCTTCCTTCCTGTACCTGTACTTATAGCATCGATTATAGCATAATACATTATATATCAAAAACACTGACTTTTTAACGAAATTCTATATTTTAGACTTCAGATTTTATGTAATTGAATTTACAATCACAAAATCTCAACTGTTTGTGAGTTCTGATTGACCTGTAAGGTGTGGACATAACATTTAAAAGGTACAATGTGTAAGATTTGGTCAGAATTTTGGTTTAAAACATGAAATGAACTTACATGATTAACAGAATGTGGAGAAGAAACCGCTCTGACTTTATTGTCAATGGTATCTATGTATTGTGTTGCAGAGATATCTACAGAAGTTAGCATGCTAACCAGCTAGCCTCAGCCCATCCTGTTTTATAATACTGCTTGTGTCTCAAGATGCAATAGTGTGTCACTGTAGTGTCCAGTCTGCCCTTAGTCCAACATGAGAGGATGAAGTAGAGCTACCCCGGGAAATTGCCAATCAATGCTACTGCACAAGCTGCTTTTCCTCATGCTCCTACGCTATCTCTGCTTTGTTGTCCCCGGCCATCACTTCTAATTCCCTGTCTCTGACTGGGCCTGAAATCGCCATTGTCCGGTGACACACAGGAGGCCAAAATGGTGCATGTGGCAAGAATTACACATTAGACTAGATTTACTAAAGGCTTGCGTGAGTAAAAACGTGTTCAAACTTGATATCACCAACAAGTTAACACATAAGCTGATCTACCAACTGTGTGCACGCAGAACGACGTCTTCAAAAAGTGTTAGATGCCACCTGTTGTTCATTTACTACTTTTGCCTTATTGAATATGCAATTTGGGGTGTTTCAACTTTATTGTGCAAAGTAATGGGAGGGTAACATGCAAATACATTTATTTATTACACGCAATGTGATCTTACAAGCCTAAACGCAATTTCATGTGAGTGCAACAGCATCTGTATTTAATACGTTTGAAAGGAAGGTGCAAACCGCCAAGTGCTGTGCAGAGATGGCTGCTGTTATTGTTGGGAGAAGGAGACACAGCCGTAATGAAAGAAGATGTAGAGAAATTAAAAAAAATAAGATAATATTATTCTATATCCAATATATAGAAATAAAAGTATTTTATTTTATTTATTCAATGAACTATATGAATAGAATTGTTTTTTTGTATTTTCCTTTAGCTTTGGCAATACTGTTGTATTAATATTCATGCCAATAAAGCAAATTTTGTTTCGACCTGACTTCTTTTCTCCGTGAGATGGAAGAATTGAGAAAGTTGCGTGGCGCTGTGGAGAGCCCCCAGCTGCAGTGCATGGATCACGTGTAAAATTCATCCAGCCAACGGGAAAGATCACCAACTGTTCACAGTGCGCTGGTCATAATAGCAACACAACCCATTGTAGGTATCGGAGAGTTAATGGGGTGTTGGGGTGTACAGGGCCAGGGATAGACTGCGGAACAGTGCAGACGGTCAGTGATTGTTCCCTCTGGCTGGATGAAGCACGATCTGCTAACCCCAGCAGAAACAGCTAGCTGGGGATTTCCCAAAGCCGTTTTTCAAGTGTGCTTTCCCAAGTACTTTTTTTTATTTGGGATAAACAGAATGAAACAAACCAAGGTTTTTATGCAGTGGCTGCTTTCCCTCCTGACTCTTCATGGCGGAAACCATTAAAACACGCAAAACCCTCATTCGGTTTCCATCAGTATGTTGTAAACACAATGAAGACTTTCCTAGTTTCAAGCTGACTGTGAAAACAAAACCAGAAGTGCCTCAAAAAAACAATACTTCATTAAAATGCGTAGACACCTACTCTTCTGTTCCTATCCGTCTCTTTCACTTCCTCTTCAGTCACTCCTTGCCTGATCATAATCTTGACAATGATGGAGTTGTTGTTGCAGCAGGCCTTAAAAAGGGAAATGGGCTCGGGGCTCTCAGGACTTGGTAAGAGGTACATGTGGGACACAACTGAATTGTCTGGGGGATAGAAAGAATCGTCCGAGGCAACGCTTCGTGTGTCAGAGTGATCCGGCAGGGCATCGAAGTCCAACTCCTCAAACTCTTGGTAGATATCATCCTCATCCTCCCAGTAGTTTTGTATATAATCAGCTTCATTGTCCTCGCCGTTGTCCTCTCCTGACATCTCACACTCATCCCCATTTTCATTGGTGATGGACATGACAAGAGTATCCTTAGAAACATTATTATTCCTAAATTCCATCGTACCCAGTCCCACACCTCCGGACACTCCATTCTCTCGAATCTTTGAACCTTCGCCTTGTTCCTCTGTTATTAACACCATTTAAACTGTCCCCTGCCCCAACACACCTTTTAAAATGATTGTGGGGTGCCAGGACAACTCTAGGAGGACCCAGAGTTTATGTCCACCATCCTGCTGCAAAATGTTGTCTCATCCTACCTGACAAACATTGAATTCTGCCACGCTATTTACTTCTATCCCTTTCTGTCAGGTTTCCCAAGAGATCACACAGGTCACAGGGGAGGCATGTGAACATTACAATCCTTCGTCATTGTTGGATAAGTCTTATTAGGATGTCACAGAGGTTTGGATTCCCCAAAACTCCACAAGACAACGTCAACAAGAAAGGTCTGATCATATGCATGATCTGAGGAGTTACAAAGGCCACTGCACCAAAAGCGTCCTCCGTCACATCGTTTGATCATGGCCTCAGAACGTAGATGGACAGCTTGAATTCCTGAATTCTTGAGGAGAAGTTCAAGCTAAAGTTGTCCTCTTGAAAGTAGAAGAACAGGCAGTCGTCTATGTTCAACAATCATCAGCGCTAAAACAACTAATCCTGTGTTTCCCGTGGAGAAACACTGAGCTTCCTTTGATGATGGCCAGCAATGGGATGAGACATACTCTTGAACCGACACATGATAATCCCTTTAGTGGCTCTCTCTCTCTCTTTAGCTCTAGCTGTTCTGTCGCCCTCCCCAGTGACAAGAGAGTTTAAATGTTTTGTGCTGGAATACAATAAAGTGTACCATTTCATTTTACAAGTACAGAGGGAATGTCTAAACTGTTTAAGATCTATAGATGTTTTACAAAGACAACAGAAGAAGTCAAGGAAGTGTGTTCTTTTTACAAGACAAAAAAAAGCACTAAAAAGAGTAATTATGTAAAATAAATGCAACAAATGTAGAGGCAGACCTTCAAATCAATGCTGATCTTTACACCGAGATTACACCAATGTTGTATGTACTACCTTTGATCTGACAGAGATATCCTTAACAGAGAATTTAAATCATTAGTGCAACTTGTCAAGCCAACTCCTCCCCCCTCTGGTTTCACCTTCTGCTGCACTTAACACTGCCAGCTTAAATTGGATTCCTCAACCACGTAACTTCATTTGTGAACAGGGTACAGTGGAAGGACGGGGATCACCCTAAACCAAGACAGTGCAAGCCCTAAACAGAGTGCAAGCCCTAATATGACCTTCAGAAGTGTCAAAGGCATAACTTTTGGCAATGAAAAACACTCTACACTAAGACTATGTATCAAAATGGATAACAGAATAGCATGACAGAAAGTAATTAAGCAGACAGTAAAAATGCTCTCACTGCATGCAAATCGAAACCACCATAATAACTGGAATGTGAAATTTAACCATTATAACTTAATATTTAAATTTGAATACTTAATTGATTAATAACACTGAAACATTTTGCTTTGAAAACCATCATGTCTGATTGAATGTGGTTTGAATATCCAGCAGTTAACTTCAACTGGTGCGATTTAAAAACACTTGATTTTAGGAGTGTCCAATATTCAAAACATTTATCAAGTCTATCAAATTGAGTTCTAAAACTTTAACCCAAAAGCAGATTTTTTGGCCACATGGGTTCAGCAGAAATAAGTTGTTAACTAGGGTAGGGCAGTATATACCAGTAAAAATATGTCCACCAACACCCTTTCCTCCAAGGGAGCTCTCTGATGTTTATTTGGGCCAGGCTATGTAGCAAATAAGGGCTGGATACTCACATGAGCTTGTGAACTTGCGGGTGCCTCAGCTGCCTCGCAAGGTAACGTGATTTGGGTAACAAGACTGCTTAACACGTTCCTACATGACGTGAGAGCGACAGTCAGTGGCATTAAGGCGCCATTGGTTTACCAACCGCTGCAGAAGAGAATGACATGACATGAGACATAGAGGTACATGATGACCAGACATTTGCACACTGTAGTTTGTTTTGACAGTGTTTTGTCATCTTTTTTAAATGAAAGATTAGCATATGCCGCAGGAAATCAATTTTTTTTCATTTGCTAATCTTTCAAATTCAAAATGAGGTGATTTTTATATTGCACTGGCTGGTATTTATAGGTTAACTTTAAAAAACTTGAAATTATTGTTCTCATTTAAAGACCTTAAAACCTTAAAGTTTCCATTTTGAAAGAAAGCATTGTTCCCTAATGCTGCCTCAACTTCAGCTGAAACTAGCTAACATAAGCATTGCTAAGCAGTGAGTGCCCTGGGGCCTGTACTACGAAGCAGGATTTGACATTAATGATAAAGTCAGGTTTAACCCTGGGTTTTCACGGTGATGGTGGTTCACTTCTTATCAAGGTACATTGCCATGGTAACTTATGCTGAATGGCTAACCTGCTCCGTAGCAGGTTACGTTTGAGATAAGACATCAGTGTTATACAAATACCACCTCCAGACCAATCTATTCTCTTAGACGCATAACCATCCGTAGAACATCCCACAGACTCTAAAGGCTACGTTTTTGTTTGCTGTGGGTGATGAGGAGATTCTTTCTATAGCGATATCATCATACAGAGACTGATTGAAGCACTAAGCCTTGTAGGACTTTTATACTTTTTAAATATGACAGTAAGCCTACTTACCGCTTTGAAATGTTTTTATATTTTTTATTTGGTCCGAAGTTATTTTCACACAGCCCAACTCATCTTTTATGTGAACCCGCTCATGGCTGGATTGGGAAACGCTGGTTTGATTTACAGAGTTGATAACCAGCTAACGATTGTTAGGGTTAGTAAAGCCAGATAACGAAAACATATCCTTGGTATGTTGAACTTGCTGCACAGTACAGGCCCCAGGTCCATATCATATCATATTATTATTAAAATGATTAGGCGTTAGACCGATAGTGACCGACAGTGATAGCTCTGTAGGGCTGAGCAGAACTCCAGAGTAAGACAAAAATAATCTCTACTCTTCCGAGCTTTAGCTTCTTTCTTTTTGGTTCACTGTCACTGCTCTTGGTTAGCAGCTGTTGTAAAAATCCACTGTGCTTTACCTGCCCAGCACCAAATAGCAAACAGACAAAGTTAGAGACTAGCTGGTGAACTAAGTGGGGCATTTAGCAGCTAAAGACCCAGACTCATTGTTCATAGAGAGCAATTATTATATTACACGACAATGATCGTTTCATTGTGTCTGGATGTGTAGGAAACTGTTTTATATCAACTTCAGATAATGTCTCAGAGTTCACGGCTTATTTCCACTGCCCCATGTGGCCAAAAAAACAACAAACAAACAAACAAAAACAAAGTTACTGCAGGTTTAAAATAACTATCCTAGTTAGATTGAATGTTCAAGTTTGAATTTTTTAGCTTGAAATTTGGGACTGAGTTTCTCAAATCCAATTTGAACAACCTGATTTTTTCACTTTTAGATCACATCCCCAAAAATATACTTATCAATGCACTACTGCATAATCATCACTAGAAAGTAGCTTATGGAAACTTTAAAGAGAGAAATTTAGACCACACCTTGTCAGATAGATGGTTTTCAAAGTAAAATATTTCAATGCAATAAATTTAGCGCCATTAAATTTAAAGTAGAATTATTAAGTCTTATATTTGCTTCCGTATATCTGCTAAGTTTGCATTGATACAAAATACAATTTACTACAGTAGTTTTGGATTGCAGTGACCAGTTTGGGTTGTAAATCAGTGTAGTTCACCTGGTCATGAACTGAGGAGCTGACCTGAGCATGTGTGTCAGACAGTTCAGGATTCAAGTGTTTTGTGCCGACTGCCTTGGGCAGGAAAGGTTTGCCACGCGAGGACACAGTTCACACAGAGGCTACATCTTTTCAGGCACAGAAACACTAATCTCTAGCTGTTAAAGCCTGCCTTTCCTGAAACACACTACACCATTCTGTGTAATACGCTGCCCTTCACTAGTACTTTCAAAAAGGTAAATTTGTTTTCTTTGAACAAGGTATGAAATTTCTTGTGTAAAGTAGTAACCTGTGCCAGAGGACATACAGTGTAGATTTACAATTGTTTTTTTTGCCTGAAAAATATATCAAAACTCTCTATATGACACAGCACTAATCTCTTCAGAGCTCCTTAAGCAGGGGCAAATCACAGACACTTAGTCAATCCCATTGTAATTTTTTTTGAAGCACAAGTTGGAAAAATCTGATTTAGCCCGACAGTTGAAATCTTGTTTCAGCTGCATACGCTGCTAATCTCCACATGGCTTCCAAAATGGTTAATTGGATTGAACAGAAATAGCCCCACATCCTGTTTCGTAGAGCTGCACTTTCCAGGAGTACCAGACGCTATCCCAAATCAGAATTGGGCTGATGTTGAGTAGAGTTTAAAGACATTTTCTCTCTTCTCAGGCATTTCTCAGACAGAGGTGGAGAGGATCATAAGGTGCATGAAATCCTCCACATGCTCACTGGACCCTCTCCCCACATCATTATTAAAATCCAATATTACAGCCATCAGTCCATTGATCACAGCAATCCTCAACCAGTCACTCAAATCCGGTCAGGTCCCTCCAGTTCTCAAAAATTGCAGTTATCCGCCCCCATCTGAAAAAGCCGTCACTTGACCCCGACATCCTGGCTCATTACAGACCCATTTCAAACCTGCCGTTTTTGTCCAAAGTCCTGGAAAAAGTTGTTGCAGCCCAACTCCACAATCACCTTCACATCCATAACATATATGAAAAATTTCAGTCCGGTTTTCGAGCAGCACACAGCACGGAGACAGCCCTGGTCCGCGTCACAAATGACCTACTTATGACTGCAGACCAGGGCTTACCATCTCTCCTCCTCCTACTGGACCTGTCGGCCGCCTTTGACACTGTGGATCACAACATCCTGCTTCACCGTCTCCAGTTTATGGTAGGACTTTCTGGGACTACACTAGGCTGGTTCCAGTCTTATCTCACAGCCAGGACGGAGTATGTGGCTCTAGGACAGTCCCAATCATCACCCCACACAGTCAGCTGTGGAGTGCCACAAGGGTCCGTCCTTGGTCCAGTCTACTTACTACCCCTCGGTCACATCATCCATAAACACAAAGTTTCATTCCATTGTTACGCAGATGATACACAACTATACATAAAAATGGACTCTACACTCCCCTCAGCTCTGCCATCTGCACTTCAGGTTTGCCTGGAGGAGATAAGGGCATGGATGGCTGACAACTTTCTTCAACTAAATAGCAGCAAAACCGAAGCCATCCTGATCGGTACTCCACATCAAACCCAGTCCGCCTCCCTCAGCAGTATATCCATTTTTGGTCATCACATTCCCCTGTCTACTTCTGTTACAAACCTTGGAGTCAGACTTGACTCAAATCTCACATTCGACACTCACATCCGTCACCTCTGTAAGGTCTCCTTCCTCCACCTCAAAAACATCGCCAAACTCCGCCCCTCCCTCTCACAACTAGATGCTGAGAAGTTGATCCATGCCTTTATCTCCTCCAGGCTGGACTACTGTAATGCCCTCCTCGTCGGGATCCCTGGCAGGAGACTGCAAAAGCTCCAGCATATTCAGAACTGCGCTGCCCGGGTCCTGACGAGGAGGCGCAAATATGACCATATCACTCCAGTCCTGAAATCCCTCCACTGGCTGCCCATTCAATACAGAATTCAATATAAAATCTGTCTCCTTACCCACCAGTGCATACATGGAACTGCCCCTGCCTACCTCAGTGAACTCCTCACCCCACTCACCACCTTAAGAAACCTCCGCTCCTCCACCTCTACCCACTGCCTGCACCAACCAAGGACTAAACTCTCCACCATGGGAGACAGGGCCTTCCAGGCAGTCGCCCCACGGCTCTGGAATGCCCTCCCAGAGCCCCTAAGGGCCCCACAAACTCTGGAGGTTTTTAAGAAGGGCCTAGAGACTTTTTATTTCAAAAGGCCTTTTAACAGTCATGGTTTTAAATTTTTGTTACGGTGTTTTATTGCGATTGTTATTTTCTGGAACTGTTTTTAACCCCTTGTTGTTGTAGCACTTTGAGATTTCCCTGAAATGTAAAGTGCATTATAAATAAAATTTATTATTATTATTATTAGAGTTTTTTATTGAAGTTGAATGATGTTATGGAATTTAGTCTGTGTTCTTTGTGAGCACGTACTTTATTATACTCCCAATAAATTAATATGAATGTGATCAGTTTCTCATCTGATCCACAAATAAATCAACAGTGGAAACTCATTGTCAAAGGCAATGAGAGAGAAAGTGTTTACTCTTAATCTGTTGAACTACTGAACATCTATGTGCTGAGAAGTTTTGACAGGCCAGTAGCCCAATACACAATCATGTACTTCCATGTGTACCGGACTAATTAGACTACTAAGTGAAGCCTAAAAAGACAGGTCACACGCAAAAAGCATGATAGCAATATGTTGATCATAAAACTGATTTAATAGACAGATGTGAGAAAACCTAAAAATGCAACTAAAGACAAAACTTGGAAGCCGGGATAAAAGCTGGTCACCATAGAGAACGGTAAGACTTGATAATCATTTAAATAGGTGCACACTTTCAGACGGTCTCTCCTAGTGACAGAGATAGTTGTGTGAAGAATGAAAAAGAGTAGAAAGAGAAAAGAGTTTGAGAGAAGGTCAAATGCTGCACTCTTTCTCACCTCCACACAGCTGGCCAATTATGGTGTGAAGTGGGCATCACTGTTCAACTATCCGTTCAAGAGTGTTCAAACCTATGGAGCCTTCAGTGGGAATGACCTGTGTAAAAGAAAAAAATCAACTCATACACAATTGATGCTCCTTGATACATTAAAAGGGAAAAAAACAAGGCAATTCAAGCCATTCTTCTACAATACAAATAAAAGCAGATGAAGAGAGACCAACAAGGCCAATTTCATTTGTTTTGACATGCAGATACATTATATCACTCTTGAGCTGGCTTGTGCGCCCGTAGAACAAAACAATGTGTATTTCCGTTCTTCATCACAGGTTGCCTTCTCAGATTCATTTATTTGAATCAGACCTGCGGATGAATAATTATCCAGTAATTCACAAGGGGGGGAAAAAAAATAATTGTGTTGCAGGAATTTGTTTTTCCTTTCCTATCATGTTAATCATCTCGCCACTCCTGAGACTTATCTTGCAACCCCCCACAGGCGACACAACACCAACATTGGGAACCACAGCTTTAAGCCGAAAGTAAACAAACATGAGTAACATTTGTTGGATCATATTGTCTGCAGTTCGCAGAAGAAACCGCACACTCTGAGAAATCACAACTATTTATTATTGTTTCATATTACTGAACCAAAAATGAATAGACCTTAAAGTTTATACGTTTGTTACAGTACATGCCACTGTCTTCTTTGCACATATAAAAATAGAAATGATTTGCTTCTAGAAATTGAAATTCAAGACCAAAATTTTAAGTGTCCAGCTCAGTTCAAAAAGACACTAAAAGGTCACTTTACAGTTTCATATGTATATTGAAAGCTTTCCACACAGCAGCACTACAACTGTCACTTAATGTTATTCACAATCCATATCAATAGAAAACCAGTTTACCAAACTACTAATGAAACATTTCTCACACAAATGCAGTGTCAAAATCATACACACAACTTAAATCTTACTTCTTTTTTAAAGTAAAACCCACTGTGCAGTCGCCACAGTGAAATACTGACATATTTCAGTCTCAGTGGGAGGGAAATAAGAACATACAAACCCTGTTATGTTAAAATGGATTCTGAAATGATTGCAAACTGTGGTATAAAGTGCAACATTAAAACAAACAAACGAAAATTCTCCACCATTATAGTCCCCAAAACAAAAAGAACATGATCTTAAAAACTCGAATATCTCAGGAACATATCAGAGAATTGGATTCAGTTTTCATTGGCAATGAGGAACAGTTTTTAAAGAATGGTTGGGACTGACAGAAGTCATTGTATGTAATTGTAATTGGTGTTTGTTCTGTAGTGGGTCTGGGAAACTTGCTTTTAAACATGAAGGAAGTAAATTTCATTGCATTTTTCTCAAGGGTGGTGCAGGAGAGGAGACCAACGTGGTCACACAAGTAAACACTGGGAGTACAACATCTAGACACTGACTTCACATCCCCATGCAAAGAGTGTGAGTGGACCTTAAAACAAAAGTGATAGACTCAAGAAAATGAAACAGTAGTATGTAACCCATTGTAAAGCAATGAAATGGTTATTTTTTACAATTTTATTATTACATTAAAAACAGATCACTCTAGGCCACGTAAGGCTGTTGCTGCTAAACTACATGCTGAAATTTTATTAGGCTACAGTTTGTTTAACTGCTTTTGAATTCAACTTTTCTTTTCTAAGGAGAAGATTGTTAGTGTTAGTTAGTTCTTTCAAGAGTCACGTAGTCTCACGTTAAAATAACTGAGTGGAAACTGGTCTGAGCCGTTAAGAGAGAGATGAGAGAAGATAAAACAAACCACTGTCAAGCTATCAGCTTTTCAGAGCAGCTTCGTCAGTACCACCTCAACACAACAAGACCCTTTCACCTTCAGAAGACCCTGTCTCTCTTCAACTGACTGTCCTCCGACTAAACCACAACAACAGTTCAGGTGAACACTGGTGCAATTGCTTTCATGCCCTACACAGTAATGCTGACAATCAAACCCTCTACATCTGAAAGCCTGGATAACTGATGACCTATGATCTTTTGACTGTTAAACTGCTGTAAATATATCCCAGAGGTGTTGTAGTAATGAAAGGTAAAAAGACTTTGTTTCCTCTGAACAACACACAGCGCATCAGAGGGGGAATTTTATAATGTAATCACACCAACGAGTTGACACACAGAGGGAGCATCTGGTTGGACAAGAAGACAAACACAGACAGCAGCCATCAGCTCCTGCTTCTGTCCTCACAGACACAAACACAAACAGATCTGATCGCGGAAATGTTTCTGCTGGTTAGTTAACCTGAAAACATATGAACTGACACAGGAGTCTTAAGTGTGTTCTGGATCCACACAGGAGAGAAACGACACTGATGTGACCCATGTGGGAAAGGTGTCAAACAGTCTGAGTACATATTATTTTTCCATTTACGTCAACTCAGCATACATGTAATGCAATGTCATTTTGGTTTTTAAGAAAATCTATTTTTTCCTCTTTCATTCTCTCCATTTTGTGTTTTTTTCATTTTACAAATAAAGCTCACACTTGTTGAATGTTTTCTGTGGCTCTGGTGCAGCTTTGTCGAATCTGAGGTTAACCCCAGTCGATGTCAGAGTGATGTCATCGGGGTTATCAGTCCGCATTACAAACTGGAGGTGTGGATGTTTTGTTAAATTTGAAAGACAGGAATATTTACCAGGGTCTTATGATGTGACGCTATCCAGTTCTATTAAGGTAAATGTAGGAACCAGTATTTCGGGACCTTTGTCAGAATAGTCAAAATTATCTCAGCCCCTGCTGTTTTGACTTTTCCTTTTTTAAATCTTCAGCACAATACAGCCCAAAATTAATAAAAATCCATTTAGTATCTGACAGTAGCTTGTTTAAAACAAAGTGATTTTAAAAAAGTTTGAATTATTTATTTACTCGTTCCTATGCATTTTGTTTGCAGGTTTTTATGGCCTCCCGTCGTCGTTCTTTAGTTTGACATTAGCTTTCAGAATCACGTAAGCTGCTAAGGGTCTGCCAGTTTATCAGTTGTTTTTCCATCGATTTCCTTCAGGCTGGTAAATATCCGAGTGGTGTAGCATGTGGAAAAAAGTTTGTGTGTAAAGTCATCATAAGTGTTTTGTAAAAATTAGCTAGTTTCAGACAATTTCCAAAAATTAGACTGCACCATTAAAACTTAAGGAATGTTTTAGCTAGTAAAGACTTATTAAGTAATGTGAAAACTGATTGCTAGAAAGAAAATATATCTTCATCCAATCAGAAGCAATGAACTGTGTAAACAGAAAGACCCTGTAGCATATATGTAGCACATATATTAAACTGCCCATCTTTTGTAAATGTATGTATGTTTCATATCTGCACCAGTGGACAAATATGGGTTTGAGAAACATCTGGTTATGCTGACTTAAATTGATTACAAGATGAGATGTCAATTGATGTCAGTACAGAAAAAGGAAAACCTTTTTTAGTTTTTGTAAGTTAAAAAACGTAAGAGACAAATGTGGCAGCCTGTTGCCAACAACCAACTTCATGCATTAGTAGTTTGTACTCCATTACTGTACTAGTGCTACTGTGGCCTAACTGAGATGAGTTAACTCAACAAGATTCCATTTATTTGTTGTTTATACAGTTGTTTAGTGTCTCCAAACCATTAACAGAATGCAGACTGGAGTCTGAACAGCTGATTAGCACCACTATAAGCCACTAAGGGCCAGCTAGCTTAAATTATTATTTTTTATTCTGTAAGAATACATATTTCAATAAAATTAGTGTCGGTCCAAAAGGTGTAACACAGGCACATTCTGAAATGTTCTGAGGCTGTTTTTCCAGTTTAAACATGCTTAGTTCAAACCTCTCTTTTTGTATGACTTTTTATTCCTTCATGTTAATGACCTCTCTTCTGCTTAAGGTGGATTTGCTCAAGAAGATACTACAAACCAAAGACATTCATGAGGGAACATTTAAAAAATCCTGGGCTGTGTCCAGATTGTGTAAAATGTCATTTTCTTCTCTTTTCTTTCTTTTTCTACAGCTTTACTTCAGAATAATCCTCGGAGGTTCTAACAACTCACTCCAGAAATTAACTAAAAACAAATCAATGAAAACCCGTCTAACAAAAACATCTAAAAAAATAAAAGTAAAATTAAAAAAAAAACAACAAAAAAAATCACATTGCTACATCACGTATTCCCCTCCTCATCACTGACAACCTCAATGTGATGAAGGTGTCATTTGAGATGAACCAACAATTGGAACAGGACCATAGAGGCTGTTATTCCTGTTATAGTCCAAATATCTCCTCCGTAGCTCTGAAATGTGAAAACGTCACATTAAGAGACACTCAGTGTGAACTAGACATGATTTTACAAAGATATAAAGGGAAGTACAATCTGAGGTAAAAGCTCAACTGACCTGATTTCAACTTAAACCTTTTTAAAAATTATGTAACGACAACTGAAAATGTCAGCTGTGTTGAAGACAGAAACAGACACATTAAACAGGATGGACAGACTGTAACTCATTCTGACTGTTTTAGCAGGTTGATTAACAACCTCGTTCAGAAATTAAAATTTTCCGTGAAGAGTTTTAAGACTATTTTGTCTTCGCTCTTCAACGTCTTTGCCTCTCAACCTCAGACAGCAGTAGGTGTTGGTGAATAAGAGGACTGGACTGCAGTCAAAAGTTTACAGGCTGTGTTTGAAGTTGACATTTGACAGCCAAGCACAGAAAAAATATTAAGGTTTCACCACAGGAGCTGATGAAAGCTCTCAGTGCTGAGCAGAGTGAGTCAGCTCCACTGATCCCACAGCAGCAGCGTCAGGTCTATGAGGAGGTGCTGTATGAGGAGCTGGACGTGCTCCTGCCTGTCTTACGCTCATAGTTTACCAGTCGCTGTCCAACCAGGTATCTGGAGGAGAAACAGTTAAGAGAGAGTTGCTTACCAATCATCATCATGTATAAATTCAAAATTATTAACTAAAATACACAAATTTCTTTGCTGGTTGTAAGGTTGAACATTTCTTTTGAGATTCTACTGATCACTATTCTTTTTATTATCAGATCAGTCTTAATGCAAGATGCTCTTTACAATGTATTCTCCTTCCTTGCATTGAATTTGAAGTTGCTCACAGAAAACAATGTGCTCTTTGGATCTTTTTGTTGCCTAGCATAAAAATGGCCAGAGATCGTTCTCCCTTCTTGTCAACATGAAGCCTGCCCACTAGACCTGGGTGAGAAAACTATGTAAACAATTGCTGTGATAGGAACATTTCCTCAGTAAGAAAATGAAAAACTGATATACTGTATTTTATGCTCTGTTAATGACTGTATGTTCCTCAAATGTAAGTCGCTTTGGATATAAGCGTCTGCCAAATGAGTAAATGTAATGTAAATGTAACTGTCAATAGGATACATCGCTCACATAGCCCCGCCTCCTCTCAGTCACAGTGCCGTCTTATCGTCATCCATCTCTCGTTTGCTCCGGCTGACTCGCGTTATTATTTTTTCCTGCCCTACTATGCTGTAACGGGCTAGCACTCGTCACTTATTGGATGCTGGCAAATATTACAAGCAAGCCACTATGCAAGTGATAGTACAGAGCAGAGCTAACGAAAGGTGCTTTTAGACAAATTCCTAGTATGTGAAAACATACTACACTCCGACTTCTATTAACATACTCGAGAGGTTAGAGACATGTTCCCTTGCAACGTCATTTAACTTTTAAACAGAATGGCCCAGTAAACGGTTGTTGATAAGATAGTTGTCCTGTTGGCCCAACAGACATTTGTAATTCTCAAAACTAAGCTAATCCCTCTCACAGCTATCAGACCTGAGGAGTCTCAGACAGCAGAGTTTCAGGTGAAAATACTTTGGTGCACAAAACAACTATACTTAGAACTAATCACATGGCAGTCCTTTGGGGACAGACATTCAGCTTCACTAAAAGGCACATCAGTGTTGGCTGAGTTAGCTAAACAAAACATGCTATAGTTTTGGCACCAAATGTTGGACAGACAGGAGAGATGAGCTCCAATTTGAAAGCCAGTTAGACCACTATCACTGTTTGGCCCTGCAGTCCCAAAAGAGAAAAGGCTACTTAGAGTCCGCGACGAGACAGATCGGTGATCTATAATTATATATATTAAGATTGTTGGGGTGTACTGACTTGTCGTTCTTGATGTGTTCATAGAGGCGCTTAAACTGTCGAATCTGGAAGGACAGGATGGCCAACAGTGTGACCATCATCAGCAAGAAGGGATAGATCCTCCTCTCCACCAGCATCTGCATCTCTGGCTGCACACCTATAAAATTTGAGATTGAGGTGGAGGAAAGAAGGAGAAGGCAGAATAAACAATGGAACAGAATCTGCATGTCTGTGATGTCTAATCTCTAGAACCTGATGGACTTATAGTTGAACGAACAGAGTAAATTAAAAAAAACAATCAATTTCACCTTGACTTGCGCAATGGCTAAAACCCTGATTACCACAAGGCAAGGGAATACTTTATTGACTAGTTGTTTAAATGCAAAGGCTGCAAGGCAACATCAAAAACACTTGTCTATACTAAAATTGGTGCCTTGGGTAGGCTTTGCATTAAAAACACTTCTCAAATGAGTCCTGTGTCCAAATTAGTAAGGATCTGCCTGTGCTGTGTCTGCTAACTCTGTGCCTGAACTTTATCTGCGACAATTTCTAATTTAGTCAGTACTCAAAACAAAAACAAGACCAAATTAAGTTAAGTTTCCTTTTAGTTGAGCTTTCTCACTCATCCACTTGTTGGGTTATCAGTTTTATTACTGTGAAGTTAAGCAAAATGTACTACTAATTTGGGCAATTTTACAGTAATTCATTATTAAATATTATTATTTCTTTTGTCTTGAAAATGCATGGTTTTTAAATTAGATACATGTACTGTAGCATTTCAAAAATGTATTTCTATAAATCACTGCCTGCTGCAACTTAAAACAACCAGTTAAACTAGAATTTCAGCCCCGTAGCTGTGTGCATTCACCAACGCACAGAGGACAGATTATGATCTTTTTGGCCAAATGACCTCTGGAGGTGGTCAGGGACGCATTGTGACCACAATGAACACAAGTGTAAATGCAAATGCATTGTCAGTCAACATACAACAATTACGTGGGTGGAAAACGTACCGGTCGCAGTCTTTCACAAATTATATAAAAATTTTGACGCCGCAGACAGGCAGTGTGTCAAAACACTGCTTAAAGAGAGGCGTTCATTGAACGTGTTTATGTTTTTGGTTAATGGTATAATGTGCATATCCGTTTGTGAATGTGAACTCTCACGCTGTTGAGTTAAAATCAATGTTAATAACCATAATAACAGAAAGGAGTACTTTATGAACAAAGCGACGGCTAATGGAACTTTCTGGCTGAGCTATTACATTGGTTCATCAGTTCATCCTCGAGTCCAAGTGGATGTTTGAGCCAAATTTAAAGAAATTCCCTCAAGGAATTCCTGCGATTTTGCATTTACAAACATTATGATGTAACACTTAAAATGTCATCGCTTCATCTAACATTTTTTGGGGCCTCTGACAACCAAATCCTAATCAGTTAATCCTTGTGTCCAAGTGGACATTTGTGCCAAATTTAAGAAATTCCTTCCAGGTGTTCCTGAGATATCTCCATAAAGAGAATAGGAAGGACGTAATGCCCGAACCCGAAAATGCCTCCATAATGCCTCCGGCCACAGTTGCCGGCACAGAGGAATAAAAACTTTACAGTTTTCAATAAGAGACAATGTGTCCTTTTTGCAAATATGTAATTGAAATAGTACAACTGGAATGCAGATGTGTATTATTTGCAAACAAATCCCATTCTGTGCCATTTGTTTATTTATTTACTTTGAGGGACAGTGCACATTGATCAATGTCAATGAATAAGTGCTAGTGATAATTTTGAAGTTGTTAAGTAAATTAAGTGTGTCAAAATACAAACTGAGAGGCATTGTTCCTCATTAGGTCACTCGCGGAAAACTGGTGATGGAGGAGAAAACTGAAGCGGCGAGAGAGACGTTAGAGAAAAAGAGAGAGAGATGAAGGAAGCAAAAATCTGTTCTCTTTACCTCCATTCCAGCTAATGCATGAAGGGACCAGAAAATCCATGCTCAACCCAGACACGTGATCACACATAGAGACTCACCCAGAAGTGGTGTAATGCCTTTAGAGATGGTGTAGGGCACGCAGAGAGACAGCAGCAGGGCGCAGATCACAGGGGCAGCCAGCCCTCGCACAATGAAATGGAGGTCAATGTTTCTGATACCGTTAGCATACACCTACAGGGGAGAAAGAGAAGATTTTTTTAATACTTAATTCCAGAAGATATAATAAATAACAATAATAAATAATTACTTAATTAATTAGTTCTTAGAATATGCTTTTATAGAGCAGAACAGAAACAACTGAAAATGGAAAATATGTATTTTAGGATCAGACAAAGACATATTTAGTCATCTTCACAATGTATTTAAATGAAAATGATTTCACTTTAATGAAGTTAGAAGAATGTGAGACTGACCTGCTCGATAACAGTTTTGAGCCACCACTGAGGGCCCATCAGTGTGATGGCAGCAATGATTTTAGCATGGAGCACGCCCAAAGCCCAGTCCTGCCACACACAGAAACAAACAACGACCATTTTACAACAAAGACACAATAGGATCTGTCTCAAAATCTTAGCATCTGCTCAGCATTAAGTGCCTGCAAAACCAGTTTGTGTGTCTTTCAGCAGGACACTGAATGCTGGCTGGTATTGTTTGAAATGTTTCAATACTAGTTCCCTCAGATACAAGTTTTGGCATACATACCAAAACTGTTTTTTTTTTTTTTTTTACTAGAAATAGAAACAGAAAGATGTTTGTTATTATAACTTCATTAATACTGAAAGGATGTGCGCAACACACGTGTGCGCACGTCATAATCCCTTCTGACAGCTGCTAATAAATAATCCATGATTTCTCAGATGGATACAATCAAGTGGTGTGTATGATTTCATCCAGGGGTGGAAATTATTTTTTTGGCTCACCTGCCAAGGTGGCTGGTAGATAAAAAAATCCAATAGCCAAACATATTTCTTTACAAAATAATAAATTGCCTTTTGTGTCAGATATACATTTGTTTCTGTCCTTTTAATTGAGATAATAATGTATTATGTCAAATACAAGCTTAAAGAAGAGGCCAGAGTGAAATTTGAAGCAAAATTATATTATTGCTATTAAATGTACTTAAAAATAACAATAAATTGTTTTATAAACTTACAAGATGCTTATTAATCATTCAACTTAAACCTCCTTCTCAGACTGCTCACTTTCTACAATCAGCCTCTTCTGGCCTCCTGGTTCTGACAGAGTCCTGGTCCCACAGCATCACAGCTTTTGTGGGATCATATTTTTTATATACAGCCTACAGATTCTCCTTGATCTCTGGGGCAGACAGCAGGACCATTAGAAGATCTGACAGTGTGTCAGACACTGACTGGACCGCCAGTTACACAGCTAAAAGCTAAAAAAACCTAATAACCTCCTAGTACAACTAATTTTGTAGTTAGCTCCAAACACTAGCAGCTTTCACGCTGCCTTATTTCAGGGGGGTATTGTGCCAATCTCCCGGCTTGCTGCACTTTATGAAAGGTATGGAGCAGATTTTATCCGCCTGTGAGCAGGGAAAGTTGAGACAGAAAGAAACGATCTGTTTGTGAAAAGCCACAGCCAACATGCTGGTTCCTGTAAAGTCGGGCTGCTATGTGAAAGCTCACATGATTGCAGGATAAAAGCCTTTTCACACATAACACATAAATGCGGATATTGTTTGCGCTCTGATCTCCGTATAAAAGCGGCTACACTCACTCTCCCCTCACGAATCTTGTTGCCTGTCCCCTAACGCCCACCCCTTACAACTCTACGCCAATAAAACACAATTAGCATGAAAAGAACATAAACAACAACCAATGAACGTCCCTAAACCGTGTGTTACACGATTTTAGATACCTTGCTACATCGGTGACCAATTTAAGTGCGACATACTAGTGTTGTAGTACGCGAGACCGGTCTTGGTCTCATCTCAGACTCGACCGCATTTGCACTCGGTCTTGTCTCAGTCTCGGACATTGAGGTCTCATGGTTTTATTTCAAGATCAGTCAAGAACATAACTTTGGGAATATCAATAAACTCCTTTTGCACTGTCTGATTTATTTGTTAACATCCTAACTTTGATTGGATATAAAACATATTCCTTTAAATGCACCCAATAACCCTAATTAAACATGTGTTGTTACCATTAACGTCGCCACTCCCCACGATGGTAAACATCGAAAAGGAGTTTTGAATAAAGATGCTTATGTTGATTTCAGCTGTTAGCGTTTGTATGTGGGTATTTTAATGGGAATGTGGATCTTTCAGATCAATTTGAGAAGTAGGTCTACCTATGATCTCGTTCCACGTTTTAATTTGTGTCATGTAATGTGGGGAAACGGTCTTGGTCTTGACTCGGTCTCGCCCTCCCTCGGTCTTTGTCTCAACTTGGTCTCAGCCCCTAAAAGTCTTGGTCTTGTCTCAGCTTCGATGAACTTGACTTGGTCTCGGTTTGGGCGGTCTTGACTACAACACTGCGACACACAACCAACAAGAACACCGGTCTGCTGCTAATTACCGTCAATAGAATTTATATGCCAAATATTTAATAATATTTAATAATTTAGCTGCCAGTGTGGCGAACAGCCAACATTTGGCCACCAAACGGAAAATCCACCCGCATTTGGGGGATGTTAATTTCCATCCCTGATTTCATCACACACACATACAAACTCCACTGTCCTACCTGCCAAGGGTAGAAGAGAGGCGTCTGGTCCAGTGGAACTCTGAGAGGAGCTACGATGACCAGCTCAAACAGCAGACCCAACAGCAGAGGAATCACCCCAGCTAACATCACCGCCACCAGAATGGTCTTCAGGATCTGTTCTCACCAAGACATCACATCCACACACCATCCAAATACACATTAATAGCATTTGCTCTACAGCAGAGCACTTTATTTGCCATTTGGTGGGAGGGGCTAAAGAGACGTCCATATTACCATGAATGTCCACTCTTGGACTTTGAGCATGATGACGGACCGTCCCTGCGGCATCCAGGACAGCATCACAGTGGCAGCCCGAATGGACAGCCAACAGATGTACAGACCACTGGCCGCTGTGTACAGCTCATGAACCACGGCGTTGCCCATCCAGAAAGACATCAGCCAGCGACCCGCACACACTAGGAGTGAGGAAAAGGAGGGCAGGTAAGACTGGAAGTATAAAGAATGGCTAGGAACAGGAAAGAGGAATTCCTGCATGTGTCCATAACTTACCCGGCAGTGTAAGGCAGATCAGACTAGCCAGTAACAGCGTCACACACATAAAGGCAACCAGTAGAATGATCTGAAACACCAAAAAGAAACAAACACACACACAAAAGAACCAAAAAAAAATCAATTGTGGAGGAAAATTTGATAGCAGCACAGGCTTCAACCATGACAGGATATATTAATTTATGATATTAATAAGTCACCTTGAGCGGGAAGTTGATGGGCCGGTGGTATGTCTGGAAGCCCACAGGACCGCCCTGTTGTAGGATGGCCTGATGAGCAGCGTGAAGCCCTTCACCCAGGCCAGGGATCCGGTTGTTGTTGTGGCGACCGGGAGGGTTGTTGTTTGGCTGGTTGTCATCGTCGTCATGGTCCCCAAGTAGGTAGGAGTGAAGGTCCCTGTGGGTGAGCCGATGGTGAGTAATTACTTTGTCTTATTACTTTGAATGTATGACACAGAACAAAAAGCTTTTTCTAGCCGGGCCCTTTAACTGAGACACTTTTCACCAATTATGGTAGATGAAGATCATCTTAAAAAGCCTCTAAGTCATACTTTGCACATCTAAACTCGCTTTGTGTTTGTGTGTCCAGCCTACAGCATGTATCCAGCTGTGAAGGTCCAGGCGTGGACAAGCCGTTTGAGCCACTGGCGAGTGTGACCCTGCTCCAACAACGCGGGCAGAACAACCTGAAGCAACAGCAGCTCCAATGACAGCTCACTGACCGGGGCATCGCTGCAGAGACGGGACATAAACCAAACTCAGTTCACATTTATAATGTACTGCACAAATGTAACTAGAAACGGCAAAACATTTTCTCTGGCAGCTTCATGTTTTAGTTACGCCTCAATAGAGAACAGACATAGTCATCTGTAGCTTTAAGATACTGAAAAGTGAAATGATAGTGTTGTTGTGTGTACCTGTACAACATGACGTTGTAGGGAAGGAAGGTTGGGAAGAGCAATTTAATGATTCTGACAGGAAGCCAAAGCATCAGCAGAACTATGGAGCCAAACACCACCTTGAAATACAGACATGCACAGAAAAAAAACAAGACACAAACATTTGTTAATTAACATCTTAAGTTTCCCTATACTATCACACAGAAATACAGAAAGTTATCATATGCAGTGGGCTGCTTTCCCACGCTGTTAAAATCCCTTTCATTCATTTCTGACTTCACTATATAAGGCCAATGTTCTTTCTACCTGCGTTCCTTAAGCCACTCAGTCGCTGCTCTTCAAACATCATTGCATTTCTGTCAACCTCCAACCTCCACCGCATCAACCCCTTTTCCCTCAGGACGATCCAGGTGTTTCAGCTGAAAGGCTCCATCTGCTGGCTGTACTCCACCACCACCAGCGTCTAGACTCGGGGTACTCTACCTATCGCCCATTTTCATGGGCCTTTACTTAATGAAGATGACGATGAATCACATCAATCAATCAACGTCCTTACAAACCTTTAATTGATCAGGGTTTTAGACAAATTTTTGCCGCCCCTCAAAGAGGTTTTAGCGAGCGCCAAAGGAAAATCACCAGCGCCAAAATGGTCAGAATTGAAAAAAACCCAAAACCCTTTCAAATCCTCTCCGATGTGTTTTAATGGCCATTTATCAAACAACTTTTTAGCAAGCAGAAAATAAATTTAAATACGTCTTTGACTTCCAGCAGTTGCCTCTCCGCTCATCTACAGCGGCTGTTTATTTACACATGCAGCAGGCACTGGATTAATAAACCAGCTGCTGCATTGGTTTGACTGCGCCTGAACGCTCCCTTACAAGCTCACGCTAATGACTTCCTGTTATTTCTGACAAGATAAAAGCGGTTTGTGCTTGAAGTGTGTCGGTATTCACCGGTACTGTCACCTTTACATTTTAGTTTTTAGCGTACCAGCACCGGGACGCTCCTCTGCCCTCTCCAGATCAGGTTCTCTGGACAACGTGACGCTCACCCGTTCTCTCCTGCCTGCTAATCTCCGCAGGGAGATCTGGTTCCGTTCATGCAGCCGTATGTATAGTAGCTCGTCAAAGTCACTTTTCGTTAACCAACCAATCACAGCCTGGAGGAGGCTGGTCATTAAAAAATGTTGAGGCACTACAGCAAACTTTGGAAATGTTGAACTTGTTGTTCTGTATGCACAGTTTTTATTTCTGACAAGTTAATTTGCATAAACAAATGAGAGACTGACCACCATGTAGAGCATTTCTCTTGCGCAATAATTTAGTGACTGAAAACAACCCACAAAAACTGCTGTTTTGCCCAACTGGGCAAAGCAGGCCCAACTAATGGTAAGCTATAGTAGCCTGAACTATTATCTGAAATTATAATGAACATACAAACATTGGCACTAATCAAACCTTAACCACAAAATATCAGAAAATGGTTTTATTAGTGAAACAGCTAAATCTCTACTAATAAACAATCTGTAGGCAGATTATCCAAATAAAGTGTAACATGTAAATATATTATTATACTAACATTATACTTTCTATTTAATGTATATATATATTTTGTTTATCAAATGGTCAGAAATAACAAGAAAATGTATAGATTTCGGTCATTAGGCAAGTCATTGTCGTGCAAAGTCACCCCCCAAAAACGCCCATTCTGAGCCAGGAAAAACCCTGATTGGTCTCACCTTATTGAAAGGTTTTTACAATTCGAGATTTTGCTTTATGGGAATTCTTTTCTTCTAAAACTGTACAATTTCACCTGATATGAGAACAGCGTATTTCTATGTATTTTGCATTAAACAGAAATCTGGGTGTCGTTATGCCACTGAGGGTTAGGTTTATGAAAGACCCAAGGAGGAGGATACTGACCACAGAGAGTATAAACCTCCGCAGGTGTCTGTAGATGGGCAGGTGGATCATCTCTTGGACTGGGTTGAAGTCTGGATCGTTCAGATTCCTCAGGAACCACAGCACACCAGGCCGGAGCACCTGCAACCACAAAAACATGCAGAACATTTCAAAAGCTGTGGATTGAGAGTTTTTACTCACATGACTCTGACTGGCTGACGTGACGCACTTACCTCTCTGAGCAGAAGGATGAAGGAGGCAAAGTAGAAGACGTAGACCATGCCGACCAACCAGTGGAGGAACATGGTGGTACCAGGGGCTGAGTCAAAACTCTGCTCCCTGTCTTTAAGAGTTGCATCAAACATCTCCTGCAATGAACAAACAAGCTTAACTGTCTATTTTTTCAAACACAATGATAAAAAACTAAATCAGTTTTTAGGAATTAGTTCAATAAATGTAATATTTTGGTTTCAGATCAGATTTGTGTACACTGCATAATCATGATTGCATTCAATCTGATTAGTCATTAAACACCAGTACGCTATTGTATCAACTGAGTTTATTCTGCCTGATCTTCTTACCAGTGAGCAAATGTCGAGCCACCAACCACAAATCAGCGGGAACAAGCCTATCTCCATGACAACCAGCAGGGACACCTGTGACATATAAAAATACAAACGCAATTTAGTTTCTGTTTTCATAATTTGTTCCTGTGATCATAATCTATCTAATTAATGTTTCAACTGAAAAGCTTTTCAAGTTTGATTAAAACTAAATAGATTTTTGGAAACATTCCAATCTTTCATCTCTAATTTACCTTGACAACAATGTAGCAGACGCCCAGGAGGCGTCTGGACCGCTGGAACTTCACTAATGAAGCCAATGCCTAAAAGGAGGCACAGTTAAGGACTGACACCAAAATGTGATACAAGTAACATTCAGCCAGTATTTTAAGCATAAAAATTTAGTTTTTCTCATGGACACATTCAGCCAAAACAGACCACTGCCCTGACATTTTTTGGTTCCTGTATGACTAGACAACGAACATTTTTACCGAGATGTATGTTCAGTGGAGGAACAATGGTCCTTGATTTGGAATATACTGTATAGAGACATTTTAAATAACTATGCAGAAACCACACCAAAGCAACTACGAGTGTGAGACATACTATATGTAGGCCATTTCATACAAATTTTAAAAAATGTTGTATGTAGAGGATACATGGCAGACTATGAGAGCTCCAGCCAGGAGGATGTAGCCCAGTATGGAGGTGACGAGGCCGTCAAAGTGTGAAGCTTTGACCTGCAACCAGATATATCATCATCATCATCAAATACATTCCATTAACACAAATAGTAAGGAATTTAAAATACCCCCCGTGCATTGTTGTGCACTTACATAATCTTCAAAGCCCAGTCCAACCACTGAAAAATGGCCAATATGATATGGGCAAAAAGCTAGAGGGAAATACAAAAGTTAGGTTAGAATATGTAGTTTAGTGGAGTGTATAAGAACAGGACTGTACATAATGGATATCACTGAATTATGATGGACAACCTCCTTAAGAAAGTACACCAAAAAATTGCTATTCTCGAAGGAAATGAATGTATGTACAGTACATGACCACTAAATTGCAGGTTTAACTTACCAAAGACAAGAATAAAGAGTGTGTTGAGAGACACCACCCAGAACACATGCTCCTAGAGAAGAGACACATAATTGTCAATGACAATTACTAGCTGTAAGGCAATGGAGACTGTGTACGCATCGTATCCACGGAAAGTTGACAAAAGCCTTAAAACTGGTGGTCTTATGAACCTGTGGTCACTGCTCTCCACAGCTCACTGAGGAGGAAACCTTCTGCTGCAGAGAGTGGGACCTGTTGATGCCAGACTTGGATAATCTAGATGTCAGCGTTCCCCACTGAGTAACTAATTTACAACAAATTAATTTATGGCTCTGATCAACATTTTTCCATCATCTCAAAATCAACTGAAAGAAAAGACCAATACTTTCTATATGGTAAGAAAAAAGCAATTAAAACACATAAAGTGCTATTTTATGTGTGGAACTGCATTGTGTGACCCATTAGCAATAAACACTAGCATCTGGTTATAAATGTTCATGGACTCATTATGATCTGAAATTACAATGGCAGCATTAGTAGAGATAAAACGCCAGATGTTGCCCCACATGTAGACTGTTGTGCAGTTAGCCAAGATGGCTACTCTGGGGTGCCACTCTCCGTGTTTGTTTTGGGTCAGACTCAATCATTTGAAAAATTGTGTTTATTTGGGCAGCTGTAGGAGGCTCACACAGCTTGCCCCAATTTAAGTTGTTTTGCGTGAATCCTTGTTTTCATGAATCTTTAATAGGGATGTTCCAAGTGCAAAGACAGCAGTGATGATAAATGATAAGAATAGAAAATAAAAATAGCAATTCTAATCCTCTCCAAATGTGTCTAATAAAAGTTTATTAAACAGCTGAACAAGCAGCATGTAAACTTGAATAAAAATTGCCTTTGACCTCTAACAGTCAACTCCCCTCTCAGAACATCCTGTGATTTCACGCAACATAAAAGCACTGCAGGGACTGCTTGTGTGCAAGGAGCACATGTCATTTCTGAGACATGTAAGCACAGAGATGGTTTCAGCTGTACATTCGGGATTTTATTTTATTTCATCAGTTCTTTAATTCGGTCACATTTACCACAGTTTACTAAAGTTACACTACATATATACTACAGTGTTTATCAGTGATATGTGTATGGTATGTGTGACATATCAAATATTAAATGTATTATTGTTTGGTCCAATCACAGATTTTTTTTAAAAGCACACTAGCATACAGGTGCCATTTTCAAGCTATTGGTGTAAATTGGATGTAGTAATGCAAAAACTATTTTTGCTCAAAAAGTAAGAAAGGAAAAATGAAAATAATGATTTGTAGTACTAAAAACGCAAGATATTTAACACCTGGAATGTTAAATGATAAAATAAACTGATTTTGAAACATATAGCAAAGAAACACATAGCAAAGAAACAAAAGAAAATGGATAATTTTAGACCCATGTTGCACATAAGAAGGGGATTGGATAGCTTGTGCATCAAAAGGTTAGGTGCACTTGAAACTGTGTGTAAGAGTAGAAAGAGTGTGTGTGCTCTTACCAAGAAAACTAAGGAGCCGTCCAGCCCCAGCATCTGGGACACAAACAGAAAGTAATGTCATGATGACGTAAATAAATGAACATGGTAATACTACTTGTTTTATTACAAGTGCTGCTACTATTACAACAAAAATGAATTTAATAACCCCAAACCCAGGCCAGCTACAAACAGCATCCCTGTAAGTGGCAAGAATCCAGAGTCCTGCTTAAGTACACTACAGCATGGATACTTCCTGTCACAGAAGCTTTTAGCCCACATTCACCTGCCAATTAACGGCTACCCTGCATTGTGTCCTAGCTACAGCACACCACTTTATAGAACAGGAGACAGAGGGATTAAAAATAGATTCCCACCCTTTCCCAGGTCAGCTCCTCTGCTGCACGGTCCCACTCCAGGGCGTTCCAGTTCAAATCTTCTGCAAAGGACAATCAGGAACAACTGAAACAGTACAGAACACCTACAATGGGCAGTGAAAATATGCTTCTGTGGCTGTATTACCACCTTTTCCTTGCCATGGTTTAATTCTATTTATTCTTTTATAGAGGAATGAAAACGCCATTTCATACAAAGCTTGACATGTACTCAACCTAAAAACCCTTCTTTAAGAATTTGTCCATGTCATTTATTTAAAATGACCACATAACCACATATCATTTCTCAACTTTTATATTATAATTTAATAACTTAATTTACCAATAAAGAATAGTGTCAATTAGGGGTCTAACGGTTCTGAAACCAAGACCGAATCCACAAACACCCATGGTTCCATCTTCTGTGTTGCGGGATAGTACATTAGTTATTATTATTGCTACTTGCCCATGCAGAACAGAAATTCTAGGGGACGAGCTTTACCTGGAACGTTTTTCAGCTGCTGTAGTATGTTAGTTGGCTTAGCCCAGTTACTCAAGCTCCTGTAGTGTCACTGCCTCCAAATGGCAAACACAAATCAAAGATCAGAGCTAAAGGATCCTCTCGAGGCATTTAGATCCACAGTATGGGAGCATTACGGTTTCCTGGTTAGTTACAGTGCAAACAGGCAATAATAAGTGCATTGACATTGTTCAGTTGAAGTCTGCTATGTCTGCAGAAATACTGTCACGTCATTTACGACGCCATCAATCGAATGCAGGCTCAGACTGTCAATTCTGGTAAATGCCAGATGGACCACCACCAGCAATGTGGGGAAAAATGTTGACGGGTCAGCCGCATCCCACTTGATGTTGGAGCAGCCCATCTCATTGGGGTTTACACAGTCCCAAAACTGTCAATAGGCGCAGGAAGTTCTATCAACTGTCGACACCTCCCCCCACCCCTTGAAGTGGATCTGTCCATCCATGTAGTAAGAAGTCAAACGGGAAATAAACAAATGAAATCAAGACAGAAAGAGCGGGGTTTGAATGGAAAATACCAAATGAAATGGATAAAGGGTCTAAAAAAGCGAAATAAGGTAGAGCGAGCCTAACGCTGCAAAATGTTTTAAGTTAACACATTTATTTTTCAAAAATAACGCTACCAATGCCAGTGTGTCACTTCATATTTGTACCGTGCCAAAGCAATAACAAATGCTACAGGAGTTTTACCGACAGCAGATATGTCGTAAAGAGAATTTAAGCAAATGCTCATAGTTCCCACGGGCCTTTATATGTGCATTCAGTCAGTCCAGTTGACTGTGCTTTTCCTGTATAAATGAGCACAAGCTGCTGTTCAGGAATTATTATCATCATCATTAATAGCAAGAATTATGGCCAATGAGCCAATGCTGAATGTTTACATTTTTCCAAATAAATAACAATAATATTATTTCCAATTTTTTTTGGTTTTCCCTGCCATAAACGCACCAAACTGTGATCCCAAAACCGAGGTACATACTGAATTGTGAATTTTGTGTACCATTGCACCACTTGTGTCAGTTCCAGCCCACAGTAGATCTGTGGCCACTTAACAATAATTAAGTAAAAAGCTTGAAAACCACTATTAAGTGAATCAAACATCTTTTTTTCCCCCCATGCACACACTAACCTTGTCCCCCATTATTGCCATCAGCAGCATCCTCTTCCCTGCCTTCTTCTTCGTCGTCGTCGTCCTCTTCATCTTCCTCCTCCTCCTCATCATCTCCTTCCTCGTCATCAAGTTCAGCCTCATCTCCTTGGTTGCCAGCCTCGTGTGGGTTGACAGGTGCCAACCCGTCTGGAGCAGCGTCCGCAGGCTGCTGGGCTGCTGGGCCGTCAGCAGCAGCCTGGGCGTTGACTCCAATGTTACCGCCTGGAACCTGTAGAATAATAATAATAAAGACACACGTTACCTTTTTTTGCTAAAGCAACAGAATTAATTGAGGTAATATTGGAGTTCTTCTATGTTCATTAACCATACTCGCTTGAGAATTGTTGAGCTGCATTTCTCAAACCTAGAACACGGGGGAATAAATGCATCACCAATTGCTTTGTCACTTGTAACTAAGATATTTCAGTCCTGAACTGTGCTGCTCATTACCAATAACAACAGCAGAGGATTTGACATCATCTGGCAAGAAATGATTTACTTATCTGGTTATGTGTAAACACAGACAAATGTCAGGGCTAGCTTGGCAAGCACACTCTCTATCAGAGAGGCAAACTGTCCTGAAGTTTCCTCTGAGGGGAAGTGTTGGCAAGACCGTGCAGGCAGAAAACAAATGTGACCCAACATAGAAAACTGGCAAGAAAGTTAAAAGTGCATTAATCATTTTTCACGTTTCATGTCAAAAAATGTGTATTATAATCAAACTTTATGTGACAAAAAATATTCAAATAAAGACAAGAAAATGCTTTAGGGAATCACAACTCCGCTGGCTTATTATTTACAGATATGAGCCTTATGCCAACTATGTCAGAGTGCATTAGAATATATGTGGAAGCCAATACCCTTTTTAGGCCACTATTTGTCCAGCTATGAGATGCTAGCTGGCAACATAAACTGATCTCACCTCATTGGCTGGTGCAGGGCCGTTGGGCTGGTGAGGAACCAGAGGGGGTTGATTCTGCTCTAACCACTGAGGGGCACCACCATGGACAATCTGCTCTCTAAGCCACACCAGGCTGATGAATGCACACAGTGTGCAAGTGACAACAAAACAGCCCTGGAGGCAGTCTGCAAGCAGGTTTTGTCTGCGAGGAGGAGAGATGATGTGTTTTACACCAATTTCACAAATTACTTCACTACAGTGAGCAGGACAAAGGAAAAGAGAAGATGATGTGATGGATGGAAGGAGCTTTTGTGAATAACCACACTTGTACAAGATATAGAGAACACATAGACCTACAATATAAAAGAAGCATGACAGTGTAAGACCAGAGAATTCAAACTTACGTTGAAAGCATATCTAATGGCAGGGTAAGGAGAGAGCTCACAGAGCCGGTAAATAAACACTTGTAGATACGACCTGTTAAAAAAGCAAACCGAAAACCCCCAACAATCATTTCTTGGGTGTGACAACTACCGTTAAACTAAAACAACATTACAAACTATGTTCTAAATTCTACAATTGTATTTGTATTGTATTTCACTTCATGCTAAAATAAAAGTTATGAGTCAAGTTTTTTTTTTTTAAGCAAACCAGCTCTTAGCAGGTGAAACCAAGTGTACATTTCAGCCAATGTTTCAGCTATTGTTTGCCAGTAAGCACAGATACAACTTAGCCCTAATCCCTAAGTAAAAGTACTCATTTGTGACTTAAAGGTTCATTCGTTGCTGCAAGGTGGGTTGAACGATTATATTTTGAGATTTTTTGTTTTATCTAGTTTCAGAACTTCTAATATTTAAACAACTGCTAAAAATTATTTTTCCTAAACTTTGTTGGAAATGAGGAGATGCATAAGATATGCTGAAACAATATGACAGCTGCTGATAAAATTTCTATATTTCATTTATTGTGTTTTTTCAAGGGAATGATGTGACTTACATGCTGTGAGAGGCACCACGCCTAGCCAGGCAAAGGCCACTAGTGTATAGTGGAACCAGTATCTGATGGCTGTTCCAATACTGGTGACCAGCCCTGCAAAGATGTCTTGGACAGGCAAGCGAGATGGCATGTCTGGAGAGTAGACTGGAGGAAAGAGAGCGTGAGGTAGGTAAAAAGTGAGAGAATGGGGATAGTACAAATAAAGGGAATAGATGGTCATAATTAGGCATTTAGTCAAGGAGCTAACAAAAAATTCATGCATAATTAATGTTCCGAAAAACAAACAACTTACTTGGTGTAAATGCAAACCTGTGTTTGCATAATTCGCAGTATTCTTTTCTGCTGTGTTTCAACCACTGTAGTAAGCTGTGAAAACAAAATGACACCTCAGGAGTTTACTCTTTTTATCCTATGGAGACTTTACATCACACTTGCAATCCGAGAATCTCCCTCTATGATCCAGCAGTAATATCACACAACGTTTTCCATGATTCTTCTATATTCAGGTACAGGAATGTAAAGTGATGTCTTTGACATAATCCCTACCATTCTCTAACTTATTAATTATTTCCCCATGTTGCAATACACTTCACACAACAACAAAATTCAAACAAATTCAACATCTGCGAAAGCAAGCCGAATTAAAATGTAGAGAGACAGCATTCTACCTTTAACAATAAAGATAACAATTTAATGAAAGGCAAGAGAAAATAATGGAAAAGGTTACATGTTTAAATTCTAACAACTCACTGAACGTACCATTCCTGATGAATAAACTTGATGCTGCCCGTGCAGACACAGGGGTGGTAGAGCGGCTTATCCTGGGTCCCCTCCGAACGACATACCCGACAGATGTCTGCTGAACAGTAGGCACACAATAACATAACTTCGCAAACAATGACACCCTACTCCTAATATATTTAATTTAATTAACTTGGCACTTTGCATTTCTATCCATTTCACCGACAGACACTTTTTAAATTGTAAATTGTTTTACTGTTACTGTATTATTTAATTCTGTAAAATAGGGCTGGGTAATAAAACAATAATTATAAGCATTGCAATATAATTTTACTGAATAAAAAAATCAATAAATGTTTGATTTAATTCATTTGAATCACAAACTAATTAGCACTTAATGTTTCTATTAAGATATTTATTTTGTTGAGGAAAAAGGACTGGAAAAAAAAGGATTTTACTTAATTCTACTCAAGCAATTTTTTTGGGGAAAAAAAGAAAACCATAAAGAATAGTTTAAAACAACAATTAACCATCTGGTTTGTTTGGCTTTTACTCAGGAGCAAAAATCTGACTTTACACTTGAAAGAAATAATGATTTTACACTTATAGTGGTAATTATCGCTATCAAATAAAATGAAATTATTTATTGTGTTAACATTTGTAGCCATTTAGCCCAGTCATACTGTAAAGCACTTTGAATTACCTCAGTGTATGAAATGTGCTATATAGACAAAACTGACATGGCACACCTTTGCTATGATACCTATTGTTAAAAATAAAGAAAAATACATGTGAGCTTCCTTTCTGCAGCACATTAACACTCTCAGTAGTTTCATAACTTGTGTGTGCATGTGAGAGTGTGAGAATATGTCTTTAGTAAATAGAACAGGACAGTAGGTCAAAATGTAATCCTTGGATTACCTGTGCCACAACATGACCTAAATAAAATAACTATAATTAGCCCAGAATGCAAGTGCATAATACCCAGAGTACATTTTGATTTCATATATATAAAAATATAGCTATATTCATAATACAAGAATACCACAGTTAGTGACCGCAGAACACCTGAACACCAAGCTAAAGTCATTCCCGTAGCATAAATAGCGCATAGAGAAAATCTGTTGGGGGGGTAACGTTACTTGTCTAATTACTTCAATGATGACAATTATAATATTAGCGAGTATGTTGAAGATGGTAGTTTTGTTAACCATATTTGGTCTTTGGTAACGTTTTAAATTGGGATTGTTAACTGGCTGTGCTGAACGGTGTGTAAACGTGACGTTAGTTATCATAACGTTACTGTACGTAACGTTATTGTTATGATAACGGCTGCGTAGAACTTCTAACGTTAACTAGATAATTAGCTACATTAACTTACATATGATTTTAATGTGAAATTCACGTCTTCTAAGACTTCTATCACCACAACCCACTTGTGGTAAAAGGTTTCGTTTACGAAAGCAAACAACAGAAACCCAACATTGCTGATTTTATTTACAACAAAGCTAAAGGGAGTAGGCTAATGCTAGTTATCTAGCAAGCTACCGCTAGCGGTTTCTTTAATTCTGGTGAACCCATGTCAAAATTTAAGATGTAACATGTAGAATCGGTAAAGCCACCGGCAGTAGTTAAACCTGACCTACAATGTGAGACAGACATCGTTAGAGTGAATTACCAATAACAATTATGGGCAATCAAGTTTCAACTACCTTCCTCTGCGGTGTCCATCTTGCCTGACTGGCAGCCGTGTTCCACAGAAACTTAGGACACTCAGTATAAAAGCGATGACCGCTGGCTATCTGCATGTAGACATTTCAAGTTCGTGTTCAGTTTAGTAGCTTCGATTAGATTTGACCTGACCATATGGATCGTACTAAAACAACGCCTTTTTTTTACTTCATAGTCCATCAGCTAGCGGTCAGGACATACTCAAGAGCAACAACATGTGATTGTGCGCTGTTTTCACCACTAGAGGGCAGCCAGCTTCACAGTAAGAAAGGTTTATTTGTCACATTATAACAGGTTGTAACTCCCTTCTGCTACGTAGCAGACAATATACAGTAATACAAAAGCAATCATAAAAATGGTAGACAGAAATAAATAGTTCAATGGAGCAGTGCTAAGGATGAATTGGAGCTGCTCTGCAGTCTTATGGTGCAGGAGCATAAACTTCTACATCTCTTCCCAGAAGGCAGCAGGCTGAACAGGGTGTGGCTGGGGCGGGTACTGTCCTTTAATACTCTTTGGACTCTGCATAAACACCTCACCTCACCGATATAACTGATGCTCGGGAGATTGATATCAAGGCAGTTTTAATCACCCGCTGCAGAGCCCTCCTGTCCTGGGCCATGCACATCCCATGCCAGTTAGTGATGTTTTCAGTCAGGATGCTTTCTACTGCTCCTCTGTAAAAGCTGACATGAACTTGGCACAAAGAATTTTGCCTTCTTAAGCTTCTTTTAGTAATACAGTCGTTTTTGAGCTTTCTTCATTTATGTGTATTCAATTTTATTAAACACACAAGTCTCAAAACAGGACACCGTGCAGGAGGAGAACATGAAATTACATCATCCTTTACAGACAAATCTGATCTGGTTTTGAGGCATTGCACTTGTATCAAATAAGAAATGCCTGTTTGACCATTCAGCTCACTATTCTGCTGATAATCCTGACTTTTATCATGATTTTCTTTTCATGCTCAATCTCGGGACACTGATGTATAAATACTTTACAATTGTAGTGTATTTTGAAAAAAGAACATCAGTCTTTGCCAGCCATTTCAGGTCATCACAGAGTAAAAATTACATGGATTAAAACAAACAAAATCCCACAGGATTGCAACTGAGTGATGACAACTGAGTGTTTGCATTTATGTGTGTGAATCTTGTGTGTCCTCGTGTTCTGGTGTTGTCTTCCTTGTCATTTCTTGTTGCAGGTGCAATTTAAATGTCTTGGCATCGTACACCCATACAGTGTCAATGCCCTCCCCAGCGGTATGTTCAGGGACCCAAGTAGGGAATGGAAAGCGGCAGGCCACCACCTTGGCTGTACTTGGTAACTCGCTTGCCAGCTTCATCTCCAGCTGGTCCATCTGCAGATACAGACAGCAACAATCAGGATAACAACAGTAATACATTGGGGTTCTGAAAACTTACTAGGCAAGATCAAATATAGAGCTTTCAGGTGATACTTCAGCTCTCAAAAGGAGGCTATGAGTGACATATTATATTTAATTTATAATAGCTGTTTGGAATGAACTGAATTGTGCCATTTCTCAACAAGATCAGGATCATTTCATCACTGATACATGCATCTATTGAAATATTTCATATTGCCAGTGTCTTAAGGAGCAAGCCAACCAGACTGCCTGGCCAGTAACTATAACTTGGAGTGCTTTATAGTAGAGCAAACGTGCTAGAAATAATTTTACTTACTGTTTTAGTGACTAAAATTGGCACACATGGCCAACATTATATTCTATGAAAATATAATAATCTAAATGTTGATAAAATTGCTGTTGTACAAACAGAGGAACTCACCATTTGAGGAACTCCAAAAATGACAACATTGGAGTACTGAGCAAAACTGACCTAGCAAAAGAATCAGAAATATTGGAAATGACATGGTGAAAAGACATCCAGGTATGTTTAATGTTTTCATTTTCTTACACAAAGTGAAACCTGAAGTTTGTGACGAGATAATAAATGCCATTCCCCAAAAAAAACAGTCACTACAAGCCACTAGATAACTTTACTAATCAGGTTTCACAGACCTTCCACAAGTCAGAGATGTGGAATGAGGAGGAGCGGTGGACGCCTTCTCTCCAGGCCTTGTAGCGAGAATACCACACCAGCCAGGGGTTCAGCTCAAAACCTGATGCCTGAAACCCACGCTTAGCTGCTGCTATCACCTGCATGAGGAAGGAGGACCGAACAAAAATCAATGCATCAGCAACAATGTGCCAACAGTGTAGCAGCAGTTGGGTTTAAAGCAAATCTGGTAACACTGTGGAGTTTCTTTCCGTGGTCGGTTTACATAACTAAAACACACAATTACAGTTCCAAAACATACACAACTTTCACTCCGTCTGAAGACACTTTGTAATCCAGTAGTTCGTGCAGAGGGTGTGGTATTTTATCCATACTTTTGAGCAGTTCGTGCAATTTCCAATTTTGTGCAATATTACTGCTGTAGGGTTGTGCTCACTTAACTACTTTATATACGGTTGGGTAGTTTAATCTACAGCATGTTTGTAGGGTTGCTGTTCTGGGAGAACCTTGTAGCTCATCTACTTTTCATGAAGTAATTTGTTTAGATTAAGAAGCAGGATCATTTTCTCAACCCTTAAAGGAACACTTTATCAGAACATTGTAATTTCAAAATCTACACATTTGAAGATACATGGTTTTCACTAGGCAGGAAAGGTTTGAACATTTGTAATATAAAAGTAACTAGTATTTAAAGCTGCCAATATTTGCCTCTGAGATGTAGTGGAGTACAAGTATATAGTAGTAGGCTATGTCAAATTTGTACTTAGTTACATTCCATCACTGTTCTGCAGCACATCTGTGCAAAATATCACAACACAAACCAGAAAATGTAAGCTTGGTAAGCACTTTCTTCTGGAGGTGAGATGAAAAAGAAGTAACAGACACTTCAAAGTTCAAATAAAATGACAAGACATGCTTGTGAAACATTAACTCTGGCAGATTTAGAGGAAATTGAGATTTGGTCAGTATAATGAGCATGTCACAAACATCACTCTACAGGGTAAGACAACCCAGCACTTACTATCCTTCCATCCCCGCTCCCAATGTCCACCAGGGTCCCCGATCTGACTCGCAGCACCCTGAAGACGTTCTCCACCTGAGTGGTGGTCGCTGGCACAAACGGGAGGCAGACTTTTCTCAGGGCAGGAGTGACAAACGGAGCAGCCACTGCGTACAGGGCGACCAGAGACCCTCCCAGCACCCCCGTCAGGATGAGACCCAGTCGACTTCTGCTCTTTACTTCCTTAACCTCGCTGCTGAAATGTCCGCCCGGTGTCGAGTCAAGCAGAAAAGGCTCTTTTTGTGACATGATTATAGCTTAACGGAGATGTTACAAGTAGAACATAAATACGTAACGGCGGCCAACATTAGCTGAAGTTGAAACAGCATGAATGACAGCTGGGACAATGCTAAAGGTTAGCTGGCCAAGCTAGCTACCCAAGGAACGTGTCATGAATAACATCTGATATTCAAACCGCACGTGCTCATTATGCTGACCGCTATGTCAGAAGCGCAACATAAATAGTTATAAACCAAGGAATGAACTACTGAAAAGGCGATGATCCTGTTAGTTTACCATCCATGCATCCAACATCATGACCTGTGCAGCCCTGTTAAAGGTCCGTAAGGATGACAAAGGTAACTTACGAAGGTTCCTCGCTGCCTTCTTCTTCTTCTCTGGGTTTTATGGCGAGTCGTAACCAACTTGTTCAAGTGCATACCGCCACCTACTGTACCGGAGTGTGTAATATCAAGGTTTTAATACTTCAGGTTACAGGTTCAGTGTAACCAAAAAGTAAATAAATAAATAAATAGAAAACAAAACAAACAATCAAAAAACCAACAACAACAAAAAAGACTATTTGTTATGGTCTAATCCTGTTTTTATATTAACAATGGCTGGTGTAGTGACGTTACAGTGATTCAGCAGCACTGTTCTCCTAATCTGAAATCATTAACTGTAAACCATTTTACTCTCCCCGTGAGTTTGCTTCATTCAGTTTACATCTTGCCGCACGCCAACATGCACGACGCACAGCGCATGCTGGCCAACCGGATACAGTGTTTGGGGCAGACAAACCCGGACTCCTTTGTTATTGTTCTCGGTGACTTTAACAGGGGAAATCTCAGCCAAGAACTCCCCAAATACAGACAGTTTATAAAGTGTCCAACCAGAGAGGGGAACACTTTGGATCAGTGCTACACCACAGTTAGCAGTGCCCACTGGGACACTCTGATCACGTGATGGTCCATCTGATTCCTGCTTACAGGAAAAAACCAAACCTCTGTAAACCTGTAATGAAGAAATCAAAGAAGTGGACTAGTGAAGCTGTAGAGGATCTTCAGGCGTGTTTGGACTGCACTGACTGGGACGTTTTCAAGAAGGATACCAACAATCTGGTATACAGAGGTTTACAGAAGTTTACAGAGGCTGTGATGTCCTACATCAGCTTCTGTGAAGACACATGTATACCAACACGCACCAGGGTGAGTTATAACAATGACAAACCCTGGTTCATAGCTAAACTCAGACAGCTAAGGTTGAAAAAGGAGGAGGCATTTAGGAGTAGCGGTTAAAGTACAGTTTAGCAAGGAGGTGCGAGAAGCTAAACGACTTAGAGAGACTAAAGAACCAGTTCTCTGCAAACGATGCCACTTCTGTCTGGAGGGGGTTCAGACAGATCACAAACTATAAACCCAAAGCTCCCGACTCCATAAACGATTCTCGCCTGGCAAATGAGCTGAACCAGTTCAGCTGCTTTGCGAGTCAATCAGAAACCATCCCCCGTGACTCCTCCGTTCAGCTTCAGCCTCAGTCCACCACTTCTTCCCACCTAAAATCCATCACAGACCCACTCCTGGACCCCCTGCAGTTCGCGTACAGAGCCAACAGGTCTGTAGATGATGCAGTAAACATGGCCCTTCACTTCATCCTCCAGCACCTGGACTCCCCAGGAACCTACGCCAGGATCCTGATTTGAAGAGCCCAGCCCCACCCTCCCCCATCATCCTGTGTGACTCCTCAGTCACCACTGTGGACTCCTTCCGCTTCCTGGGCTCCATCATCTCCCAGGACCTCAAGTGGGAGCTGAACATCACCTCCATCACCAAAAAGGCCCAGCAGAGGATGTATTTCCTGCAGCAGCTGAAGAAGTTCAGCCTGCCAAAGACAATGATGGTGCACTTCTACACCGCCATCATTGAGTCCATCCTCACCTCCTGCATCATCATCTGGTACGCAGCTGCCACCGCCAGGGACAAGGGCAGGCTGCAGCACATCATTCGCTCTGCAGAGAAGGTGATTGGCTGCAATCTTCCTTCTCTTCTGGACTTGTACACCTCAAGGACTCTGATTGCAGTTGACCCCGCCCACCCCGGACACAAACTGTTTCAGACTCTCCCCTCTGACAGGAGGCTGCGGTCCATCAGGACCAAAACCTCTCGCCACAAAAACCGCTTCTTCCCGTCTGCAGCCTCATTAACAAGACCCGGGTCCCCCACTGACACTCCCCCCTTGCAAATGATACAAATGTCTCTGCACATCTATCAATACTGTTTCATCTCGCGTCGTGCACAGACCTGGCACATTGCACATATTTGTTGTTGATTGTTGATCTTTGTTGTTGTATATTTTTATGTTATCAGTTTATATATTTATATGTACACAGTATTCTCTTCCGTTGAGTTTCTTCTGCACGGCACAGACCCAGAATAATGCACATATATATATCTGCAATGTTGTCTTCCATTCCATATTTATATATTTCTACATTTATTTATGTTGCCACTGGAGGTGCAGTAGACTTTACAGCTGACTCCTTGTTGAGGACCTCAAAGCGAGCATGAAAGGTGTTAAGTTCATCTGGTAATGTGGCCTCACACATGATGGGGGAGCTCCTGCTTTTGTAGCCTGTGATGTTTTTGATGGCCTGCCACATATCTTTGGTGTTGAGGTCTCTCTCCAGTCTCGGCTGATGTCTCCGCTTTTCCACCTTGACGCCAGCTTTCAGTCTCGCTCTAGCGGTGCTGTAGGCTTCTTTATCACACAACCGAAAAGCTCTGGACAGAGCCCTCACCTCTCCATTCATCCAGGCCTTCTGATTGGGGAATGATTTGATCAACAAATCATCAACACATTTGCTGATGTATGATGTCACTGATGATGTATATTCCTCAAGCTTGATGTGGCTCTCCTGGGTGGCGGCCTCTCTAACCATGCTCCAATCTGTGCTCCCAAAACAGACCTGCAGAGCTGCTGTAAATTCATCTGTCCACACTTTGACTGTTTTAATTGTTGGTTTGACCTTTTTTTAATCAGCTGGGTGTAAGTGGGCTGAAGAAGCAGAGAAATATGGTCTGATAAACCAAAATAGGGACGGGGGAGGGCTTTGTAGCTGCCAGGAATATTGTTGTGGACATGCTGGTGGCATTTCGGTAATATCGTTCTGAGATCTGTTAAAATCGACAGTAACAAAAAACAAAAAACATCAGAATTCCACATCTAATAAACATTGTCAGTTACACATTATGCTGAGGCAGATTGGAGGGTACGTGTGGAGGTTTGCTTGGTCAGGAGTTCCTTGAGGTACGGAGGGGGGGGCTTCACCATGGATGCACTGGTGGGTAAGGAGGGACACCTTGTACTCAGTCGTGGGTGAGACAGGAAGCCAGTAAATTCAGAAAATTATAAAAGTTTAAAAAACTTTGAGCACCACTGTAAAGCATACTTCCATGCCAATGATAAACGCCATATATTATTATGTATTAACATAAATGTACGAGCTATGGCTGCAGAACATTGACTCTGAAGCCATAAGGTAACATTTACGAGGTTCTCAAGAGCAGCAGGCCTGTAGAAAGTTAAATTATAATTGAAAAGGCTGCCAACGCTGAGAATGTCTTCTCAGGACGTCAGTCAGGTCTGTGAGGCCATATTTTAAAGGTTCTTTCTTTTGAGGACCTCATAAAATATTCTTACCTTATGGCTTCAGAGTCAATGTTCTGCAGCCACAGATTGTACATTCAATGCCACTGAAAGTATGTATGTGCTATGTTGAATAAATGTTGTATGGAAAAACTTTTACGGATTCTCTTCACTTGCATGACACAGTGGGAGTGTTGGATGAAAGATTCACACAGTATATAGCACACTGGTAAATCATTCTTTTGGCCAGATGGCCTACATTAGGACATTTCTGATGTGAATTTGTTGTCAGAGCTGTAAGAACCTGACATCAGTGTTAGAACCAGGCTAGAACAGAAGGGCATGCAGGTTTAACTCTGGGCTGAGGGTGAATGATGAAGATGATAATAGGCTGCAAATAAGACATAAATATCAAAAACCAAATGACGTGAACAACAATAAATACAGCTAGGCTACATCAGTAATCTGGATTCAAAACATTTACTAAAGACACAAACCAGGCCTTTAGTTAAATACTGCCACCTGCTGGTAAAAAGGAGGAACAGCTTGATACATTAAGTTGGAAACCACATTAAATATGAATTTAATATAAAAAAAATATATAGTGCTGACAGTGACAACTCTGCACACACAATAAGTTCTTGGGTTAACCTATATTAGCCTACCAACTGTATTACACCAAACAATGCGCTTAAAAAACGTGACTCCTGACTGCTGTTTAACGTTACATGAATAAATGCACAATATTATAGTGCATGTAATCAAACTGTTGCTAACGTATTTCTCTCGGTCCAGGTTTATTTATTTATTTTCATCTAACATCACCCTGGTAGGCTATAACTTTAGTGCTGCTTAATGTTACAGATCTGACCCTTCTCCCAGCTTGGCTTTTATTTGAACATGTTTACCATTACTACCTGGCCCACCTGTCTTTATTTTCTTAACGTCTATCTTCAAACGGAGAAATAAAAATAGGAATTTCAAAAAAACCTAAACCGGACCTCCACGGTCCCTGTCTGCACACAGCGAGTCTGCAAAGGCCACCCAGCGGTTCCATGGTGTAATGGTTAGCACTCTGGACTCTGAATCCAGCGATCCGAGTTCAAATCTCGGTGGGACCTGATATTTTCAAGGCGAGGCCACGTACCACAACGTCTTTTGCACCTTCTATCTCACTATTTTTGTCATTCTAGGAGTCCTTCAGCTACATTTAAAAAAAAAGTGATATAAATACATGTATTATTCTCATTATGATTAGGATACTACTACTACTAACAATATAAACGATAACAAAAAAAATAACAATATTAATGCTAATAATAATTTAACACTTGCACACCTGCTTTCTGTTATATTTTGTGCTACAATTTATGGTGTTTAAATTATTTTATTTAAATAGGTCTAAAGAGAAACACAAAATTCAGTTGGCAGGTGTCATTTCAAAAGATAAAACTATAACACAATATAATGCAGTAAGGCTCTCAGGTATTCTGTGTTGATTTCAGATATGTATTAATCTGTAGGTCAACTTTTCTAATTTAATATCATACCGGCCGAGTCAGCACACATGCAGGCATGACTGATTGAATTAACCTCTTTAAATGTGCATGTGTCCACGTCAATGATAAATAATTTCATTTTGATTCATTTAGAAACCCCTGCACTTTTATAGCTCCTGCGTTTTAGCAAGTTTTCTACTCATGTTCAAA